AAAAAAATAAATTCGGATGAAGAAATGAAATTGAAAGCAGTGGCGGATCCAGAATTTTTCATAAGGGGTGGGGGCCCGCTGACTGGACTGACCTTAAGGGGGGGGGGGGGCACTCCAGTCATGCTTCAGTGATTCCCTATTAATCAACCAAATTTTTCCCACAAAAGGGAGAGCCCGGGCCCACCCCTGGATCTGCCTATGGAAAGAAGTACATTTTTGATAGCAAGATTATGCAAGATTTTAACAAATTCTGTTAGGCATTTGCAGTGGCAAATCTGCAAGGGGGGTGGTGGGGTTTGGAACTCCCTTTTTTTTTTTTACAATCAATGCATTTGAATAGGGACATATAGTTGGACCCCCCCCCCCCCCCCCCCCCCCCCAGCACTTGCCTCAAAAATTATCAACATAACCCTCTCAGTCTTTAGAATAGACATCTTCATTACTCCCCATCTCTTTTTCCCAGGTCCATAGAAGATTTTAAAGAAAAAGTTGAGATTGATGGAGGACAGTTTCATTTATAAGACATGAAACATACACCAATCTCAATATTTATGATAACATTTTGTTTACCTCTTCCCAATGCTGGTCATTTTCTGAAGTCTGTTCAGCATACAAGTTTGTTTGCTCTGATAGGTGTTGAAAAAATCGTTCTTCAAAAAACAACTGAAAAAAATCAACAGCTTGTGCGTTCAATGGCAACATGTGCACAGGACCTGTCATTTCATTGAAATCTGGTATTTCAATATCCTCCAACTGTTCAGACCAAAAGTCATCATCAGATACACTAGTGAGTTGGCTGCTCGGAATTTCACTCAGCTGTGATTCAAACTCACCATCACTGTCCGGCAATTCATCATTGTCTTCCTCAATATCAGAATCAGGGTTTCTGTCAGAAAGGTCTGAACCTACTTCAGATTCTTCATCAAATGATAAATCTGATGTTCTCACTGAACTAGGAGGGCTAACTGAACCTGGACTGTCATTTTCGTCCTCCAAATCTGATAACCCGAACCCCGAAAATTGCGAAGATTGGGAAGAAAGGAAAATCTCCATTTCTTCAGTCGGCCATGTTTTATTATCCAAAATGAATTGCCAAGTACACAAAAGTAAAAGCTGTTTATTTTTTTTTTGCAAAATGATATTTCATGAACATAGAAGTTCACGGAATACTGTATAGATGTATTTATTAAAATAAAGTACGAGGATAAAAGGGTATCGTCTTTTTTACGAGAAAACAGCACTGCAAGTACGGTACTATATTATGAATTCCGAGCCGTGGGCGGGGATTAGAAGTTCGATCAGAAAAAGTTGAAAAACTAGTTATTTACGTTCAATTTATTAAGAAAATGATTGAGGTTTAAAAATCATTCCTTTTGCTTGAAATATTTCTTTAAAACATTGCAATGAAATGTTTTTTCTGGTTAATAAAAGTTATGTGTTCCCGCCCACTTTATGACTCGTTGATGCGTAATCGCCGGAAGTCGGAAAAGGGATTCCCCAAAGAATTCACATGTTTACATTTTACACGGTATCACCTTCTTGTTCAAAATGTGTCGGAGAAAAAGAGTGGTATGGCATCGACTGCACATCTTTCAATTCTTAATCGAATTTCTGATATTCCAAATGCTATTTTAAACACAATTGTGTAATGCAGAGTATTTTATTGCAATTTTCTTCTGCTCTAAACTGGGAAATGACATCGACTTGATCTTCCATCATTTTTAAAATTTAAAAAATCTTACCAAAAGTCATTAAACTCGAAACTGTATCGTACAAAATGAAGATAAGGCATTCAATCAACAGTTGTTATCAATAACTCATGACAAAAATCGTAATTAATGCAATTTCAGCTGCTTTGAAAAGTTGTCAACAAAAAGTTGGACAAAATGGCGACGGCGTTAAAAAAAAGAAAACAACAACAAGTTTAAAATTATAATTCACGTTGATAAAAAATTATTTCATCAAGAAAATTTACACCAGTTATTCACAAGTTTATACTTCTTATTTTGGATACAAATTTGATAAATTTTGACACGGATTACTCGAGGACAAAGCGTTTCAACTGAGGTTGTTAACAGAGGCGTCAAAAGGCGTCATTATGGAGTAAAGGGGGAGGCGTCAAAAGGCGTCATTATGGAGGAAAGGGTTAACAGAAACCAGAAATTTACGATCACAACCGTTTATACAGTCAGACGATCAGATATCTACAGGAAAACAATGGGAAGAATGGCTTGAAAGTATAGAGAGAATTTAGATATTTTAGGATAACTGAACCTGGAATAAGGATGCTTTAATCATTTATGAAGGAAAAGACATATCAAGATTGGAAAGCAGCCTAAGAAATGAAGAAGGAGAAGATGAGTATAAAATATTAAAGAACAAATTAAATAAATATTTTTTTGCCAAAGAGGAACAAACATCATGCCAGGTATTTATTCTTAAAAATGAAGCCATTTAGAGATGAAAACACAGTAACATATGTAATGAGACTGAGAGAAAAGGCACATGAGTGTGAGTTTGGAGCTACATGTGAAGAAAGAATATTGGAACATTGTATTCAAACCATAACCAATCAGGAATTGATAAAGAGAGCTATAAGCAAAGGCTGGAATCTAGATAAATTTGTTGAAGAAGCGGGACTGATGGAAGACACATGTTTACAGATGAAGGATATGAAAGGAGATCACAGAGATCACAGTACGAGTTCAGTAAATTAAATTCAAAGCAACAGGTCAAGCTATAGGGCACAGGATTTTAAAGAAGATAGATTTAAACAAAATGGTAGAAATATAACCAAGTCTAATTGTGGTTATTGTGGATTTGATCATGGTGACAAGAGAAGATGTCCAGCATATGGGAAACAATGTACAAACTGTGAACGGTATAATCATTTTGCATCAGTATGCAGAGCAGAAAAGAAAGAGCAAGTAGGATATAATAGTCACCAACAGAACAGATCTGTCAACTATAGAAACAGAAGAAATGTGAAGAAAACAACAGAAGAGGCATATGAAACAGATTCAAATACAGACATATCAGACTATGAAGAAGATAGAGACTATTTTGGACAAACTATCAAGCACATAAGGAAAATACGAAGAGTAAAGACCATAAAAGGAATAAGAGACATTGAAAAAACAGTGACGGTAAGCTATTGAACAAGGATTTAAACACTACCAAGTCACACCAGGACGTCAAAGAGCAAATGGAGAAGCTAACGTTTTTAGGAAACCCATCAACAAAACAGAGCAAATAACAAAGTTAAAAAAGAAAAAACAATATAACAGCTAAACAGGAGATGCATAGAGGATATCATTCAAACTTATATGAGAAGATAAATGAAAGAGACAGAGAGCAAGGAGAAAATTAAAGAATATGCTGAAAACAGAAGCAAGAAGATGAAGAAAATGCCCCCCCCCCCCCTGCAAGACAGGTGCTGGAGGGGGCGGAGGACAAAAGTAATGGGCCCCCCGCAAGACATGTGTGGGAGGGGGCAGATAAAGAGACCTTGGAAAACCAGAGATTCACATCATGACAGTCAACTTATGGACGCTCAGAGAAGTAATAGAAATCAGGAAAACCAACCAGAAGAACCACCTGATAGACCAAAAAGAGACAGATGCGCACCTCAACATTTAAAAGATTATGTTATGTGACTGCTGGTGCTTTGAACAGCATGTGAACTTTATTAAAACATTCATAAGTGAACATAACACTTTTATTACAAAAACATAAGTGTACATTTCAGAGACTGTGATAATTTAACTCTTATATACAAACTTTATGTTACACATTATTAATTTACAATTATATAGTTATTTTCTAATTCAAAGTTAAGAAGGAATGTAATATCTTCGAATATTTCGGGAACGTTACGCACAAACCTTCGGGACATTAACCTATTACGTACTGTCGCTACCAATTGTATATTTCTTAGTCATTATTAAAATACCATCTGAATAATCAAGTCTTGCTCCGATCTTTCAGATTATAAATTTCCTATCAATCAAAATCTAAACAAAGGAAGATAACTCAGTTCTTTATGTTTTATCTGAAAGAGTTCACACGATACTCATCACTGCCAAGCTGCTGACTAAATATGAAGTTATTCTGTTCAGCAGTACTTGAGAAAAGTGTGACAGTAAATTTGAAGGTCATACATTTTGAAAACTTAAAATTATTGGCAAACAGGAAGTAGTTTTCTGACTGATCCAAAAAGTGCTCACACATCATAAACTCAATACTGTCAAGCTGCTGACCAAATACGGTCACTCTGTCCAATAGTATCTAACAAAAGGTATGACAGAAATATTTGTTGAACGAATAATAATAATTAATGTGTAATTATCATAACAATACATTTAAGGGCATACGATACAGTTACAGGGGAGGTAATGACGTTGCTAACGTAATATGTTATATTTCACGACGTCAAACAGCGACATATTGGGAAAAGATGCATTTTTCGAGTGATTTTAATCATTAGCTTGAAAACAAGTACATGGACCCCCTCTTTTTTAGAGGAACATTTGACTTGATACTGTATGAAGATTATTTGTTCCAATTTTTATGAAAAAAATCACCGATGAATTTGTTTTTAATTAGATAAATATGCAGCAAAAAATGCTGTTTTTTTTACCAAAATCATGAAATTTTAATAAAAATGAATTATTTTCAAAGAATTGTTTCACAAATTAGGAGCATACTTTTGTAAAGCAGATCTTCCAAATCATTTTACAAAAATCCGCATGTGTATATCTTTTGAAATAAAAAAGTTAAGTATGTCTGTCCAAGAAACCGAAATTTTAAGTAAATGTCTAAAATTTCGACTCCATTTAACGCTAGATTTAGCAGATGAAGGTATATTTTTTATTACATATTTGAATTAACTAAGTGAAAAATAGCTTGTATGCAAATTTTCGTAAAAAAATCACCATGGGATCAAAACTGTATCGAATGCCCTTAAATACTAATGCTATTGATGTATGTGATAAATTTACCTTTTCACTAAAGGAAAACTCATCTTCGTTTGTAGCTATATTTGGCATTTGGTATAAATTTAAAAGAGAGGAAAGACCTTTTGTAACTGTGTTGCTGCCAAATCCTACAATTCCTCTTACTCTCTCATGAGGGTTTTTCTATAATATAATAATATGATAATGCAATACAATATATTTCATATCAAAAAGGATAGAATTATGACTGATAAAAGACCATGGTAATGAGACTCTTATCTTACTTTTACAAAAGCTATATCAAAACATCCTTATACCTAAATATACTGTGGATTCATTATTATTTGTGGGGTACCAGTTTATGTGGGTTATGTGGGTATAGATAAACCACAAATTTAAATGCTCAATGAAGTACACATTTTCAATATGTTTTGTATGTAGACTTTGGCAAAACCACAAAATCAAATATCGACACAAATACAATTTTTCCTCTTCCACAGTACCCTTCTAAAAAAGCTGTACAAACAAAAACAGCTCATTGCTGAATCATAGAAAATTTTACAAGAATTTCACTTTCCGGTACAAAAAATACCTGTCTGAATTTTCACAGTTGAAAATTTACAAACCACAATCTACAGGAAAGCATAAGGTTGCTGCATACGATTCACCACTTTGGATGCTATAAACTAACTTAAAATCATTTTAAAGCTTGTATCCAAAAAGAATACTATTTATTATTTCGAATACCTTGGAATTATCTAACATCTCCATGAAAGCTGTTGTAGACACAACTGGGCTGTTCTTGGTATTGTATGAATGCATGGTTAGCTGTCTTCCTGTGAATATAAATTAAAACACAAAATCTTTTACAAAGCGTTATATACATCATGACTTAATGTAAAACAGAATATCTACAAAACTACCGTATTTTTCTGAGGCAAATACGCACACTTATTTAACCCTTTCCTCCATAATGACGCCTTTTGGCGCCTCTGTGTAGTACCTCAGTTGAAACGCTTTGCCAACAAAAAGTCTGTATCAGACCTTATAAAAAAAGTATCTAGTTTAAAAAGGATATACCTAGGTACATCTGACTTGAATTTTATTGATGAAATATTTGTTTTCGCAATGCATTAATACTTTAAACGTGCTGATTTTTTTTTATTTAATAGCCGTCACCATTTTTTCGAAGTTCTCGTTGACAACCAAGTTTCAGAACACTGACATTGTCATGCTAACGACATTTATTGTTGGTTATTGATGCCAACTGTTTTTTAAATACATATTATTTAATTAATATTGTACGATACAGTTTGTGTAAAAAAAACCAACTTTATGTTGAACAAGCATTCTGAGAGTATTGCATGGCAATACATAGTCCCCTAACGATAAAACATTAATTATTCTGGAACAAAATGCTTACTTGATCTATAACTTGTCATGGTGCAAACAATATAACAAATATCAGGTCAATATCTTCAAGCATGACGAAAATAAGTGTGGAAAACTGATTATTTGAGTGATTTTTCTAAGTTCAAGGACCATAACTCTGCCCAAAATCATCAGACCGGAACAAAATTCAAACTTGATCTGTAACTTGTGATGATAAAACTGTATACCAATTATTAAATCAATATCTTCAAGCATAACGGAAAAAAGTGTGGAAAACTGATTATTTGAGTGAATTTTCTAAGTTCAAGGACCATAACTCTGAACAAAATCTTCAGAACGAAACAAAATTGGAACTTGATCTGTAACTTGTCATGATTAAACTATATTCCAAATATCAATTCAATATCTTCAAGCAGGAAGAAAAAAAGTGTGGAAAACTGATTTGCCGGACTGACAGATGGACAGACAGACAGACAGACAGACAGACGGAGTGCAAACCTAAAGTCCCCTTCGAATTCATCGGTAGGGGACTAAAAAGACGAAGTCATCATCAGTGTTCACTCCCGTTTTGGAGTTGTAGAATATAAATAACAAAAGCAAGTTTATGTTGAAACTTACATTCGAAATATCAGAAAAATAATAAACAATGCGGAGATATGCAGTCCAGACCATACAAACCTTTTCTGACCCATTATGGACAAAAATATAGCAACTAGCAAATGTAAATATGTGCTTGGGGAATCCCATTATACAACTTCTGGCGAGTCATAAAGTGGGCGGGAACATACAAATTTTAATGACCAGAAACATCATTCAAAGTACAATCTTTCAATGTTTTTGCTTATAGAAAGTGACATTTAAGTTTCAGTCATAATTGTTTTTTTATTTTTAAATTAGATAAACTAAAACAGTGAATTATTCAACAATATTCTGCATCCGTAAGTTGTGATTCTAAGCCCCGCCCACCGATCAGATTTACCATTTTTACAGTGATGTTTATACAAATAAAAGATGATAATTATTTTTCTGCGATCTTTACTTCAACAACCATAAAACCATACGGTTCGGTAAACGGATTTGTTTAAGTAGAAGCAATTTGACTAAAATATTACAGAGCCTTAACTTTGCGGTTCACTTCTCATTTACATAATATGTCAGACTGAAATAATAGACATGCATGTGTTATTCCCTTCATGATTTTTGCTGTTTTCAGGTTTCAGAGAATCAAAATTTGCAATGGAAGTAAACATAAAGTTACTGATTTTATTCAAAGCTGAGTAAAATTTAAGCAACCAACTGATCACTACATCCAATGATGACTTTTCAGCAGAGAAACAAGAGGAATATCAATATCAATGTCCCAAACTTTGATGAAGGAACATGTCATGTTCATATGTTTTTATTTTTTCAAGTCAATTTTTGAAGAAGAAGAACTTTTGTTTTCTAAATCCACTGTCTGTTACTGATTAATATTTTAATACTGTAAATTCAGAAATTATTGCATGGTTTCTATTAATGCGAATAATGCGACTGTGTGAGTATCGCAATAATAAGAACTCACATTATAATATATAATACATATAAATGAGTTCAGACTTTTCCTAAATTGTAATAACTGATATCGCATTTTTGTCCATTCTTCAAAATTCGCAATAATAAATGCACGCAATAATTTCTGAATTTACAGTAGTCTAGAAGAACACATCAATATCTATTAGTTGTAGTTGGCTTTCAACTAGCTTTCAGTAACTGTAATTACTCTTAGATCAATACTGTTTTGTCTTTTTAATTTTTTATTATTTGTGCTTCTTGCCAATCTAATGATCATGAGTCAAGCCAACAACTAAGAACATTAATTTCCTGTTTGAATGGATGCTTAGCACGACTATCTACATTAGTCAAGCCATTCTCAGCAAACTTTTTTTATATTTTTTATGTCGGGCTTTTATAGCCGACTATACGGTACAAGTTTTTCTCATTGTTGAAGGCTGTACGGCTGCCTATAATTGCTTATAATACATCCACTTTATTTAAACTTTAGCTGATAGTTTTCACATTGGCAATCATACCTCAGCTCCTTATATTTATATTTTACATTTTATTCCTCTTGTTTTTGTCCAGTTGCATCACTGCTCAATGTTTGTGTTGCTCAGTCTTTAGTTTTCTATGTTGTGTTTTGTGTACTGTTGTTTGTCTTTTTGTCTTTTTCTTTTTTCGTCATGGTGTTGTCAGTAAATTTTGACTTATGAGTATGAATGTCCCTTTGGTATCTTTCACCTCTCTTTGGGAAGAAAATGTACACTCATCATCATAATTAACACAACCCTATTATTCATGTGCCTGTCCCAAGTCAGAAGCCTGTAATTCAGTAGTTATGTTTGGTTGCTGTCTGTCATATTTGATTTTTGTTTATCCTTATAGCATAAAACAGGCTGTTAGTTTTCATGTTTGGATTGCTTCACATTTTGTCATGTCATGGCTTTTTTTGCTGACTTCTTTACACAGAATGGGTTTTGCTCACTTTTGAAGACTGTTCTGTTAACAATAGTTTCTTAGGCATAGACCTTTTAACCCTTTCGCCGATGAGTCCCGGTTTACCGGGATTCACGCTTCAGACAGCTGACGATGAGTCCCGTTTTAACGGGATCAGAATACCTCTTTTATATTTCCCGCTCAAAACAGTGCAAACTCGAGTTATCTTTCTTTGTTGAATACCCGGATGAAAGTATAAACATGGCTCTTCCGTTTGTTGAACACTGTGTCAAAATCAGAGGAAATTTACGGAATTTACGAGAATTTGAAATGAGGGAACATTTTTTTTGAAAGAATATGGAAGAATTGAAGCCAAACTAGTATACTTTTTAGACATAAAATGTCGTTTTATGTATAAAACACTTGGAATGGACATCGTTCAGTGTAAGGAATTTGTACAGCCTCATTAAATTTTTCAAAATTTTGCCGTTTTGGGTTAAAAAATTACGATTTTTGGTCAAAGAGCAGAATTTTGAGAATTTCACCTAGATAATGCCGAAAATTTGAAAAATTTGAATATTTTATGAAGAAAAAATTATCAAAACATGAACAAAACTGTGAACATGGTGTTAGTGAATGAAATAAAGACACAAATAACTAGACAAGTTTTTATTGACATTTATTATGAAGATCTCCCACATGAGTAATAGTAGCCAGGGAAGCCATCGTCTCAAGAGTAGCTTCTGTCTGGGCAGCTATCGGTGAAAGGGTTAATATTTACTGTGGGGAGAGGGGCATATCTTTTTATGGGAACAAATAATATTTTTGGACTAACATTATAGGCAAACAATTTTTTTTATCAACATGCATGCAGGAACATTGAATTATTTTGGTAACTCAAAGGATTTATTTTTTTCCCTAATTTTCAATGGAAGTAACTTTTTTTTCACTTCTGAAACCAGACTTTTCAAGAAATTATGGACAACAATCTTATTTGAAAAATACACTCATATGCCCCTTTTGTCACACACATAAAATATGAATGCACTCCAAATGATGTGGATGTAAGACAATGACCATGGTCATTGTCTTACATCCACATCATTTGGACTGTTGAAAAGTTGTCACATTGGCAATTTTATATTTACCACATCTTAGGGAGCTACCATTTGATTTTGATGGGGGGATCTAGGATGAAATTTAAAAAAATAGGCAGGACAGGAGTTTTGAGAAAAAAAAAAAGGCAGGATGAGATTATTTGCAAAAAAAAGGCAGGATCACAATTTATGTAAAAAAAAAGTCAGGATAAACTAAAAAAAAAAGGCAGTACCGAATAGAGTGTAAAATAAAAAGGCAGGACCGAATAGAGGGAATAATAAATAGGCATGACAAAAATTTTCATCCCAACCCCCTCCATAAAAATCAAATGGTAGCTCCCTTATCATTGCATGCAAAACAGTGTTCAGAAAGAACTTGAGAAGACCAGCATTGAGAAGAGGTAAACATCCCAGGATTTATAAGGATCTCCTCCTGAATATGCATGTAATGTTTGCCACTGGATGTAAAACAAACAAGCAATCAGTTTTGACTATCTATTGCAGATTTTGAAAGATGTGTATGATTCATGTTTTACAAAAGAATGGAACCTATCCTTTATTAATCTCATCTCTTTTCTTTCAAATCTTCTGTGGATCTAGGGGAGAGAATAAGATGTAAAGAAAATACCTAAACCTGAGGGAGGAGTTAGCCGATTTTTTTTCAGTTAATGTCTTGTTTTTTTGGGAGGGGAAAGGGGTTGCCTTTATAGGAAAACACCTTAAAGGAAATAATGTTTTCTTTTAAAAATTCAAATTGTGATGAATGGCACAGCAGAATATCAACATAGGAAAAAGTTTTTAATACCCTTCTAGATTTCAGGATTGATGTTACAATTACGAGGGGACTTTACAAAGAGAAACAGACATATGCATAATTAGCAAGTTAACCCTTTCAACGCTACACAAAAAAATAAAAAATGGCTGCTGCTGCTGCATTTTTTTTGACTTCATTCATTAGAACAGTATATTCCTTTTCAGACTGCTGTATCTTTTTTAAAATTAGAGATACAGAGTGTCCAAGCTCAAGCTTTGCAACAAAAATAGGCAGGACGGACGGATAGATGGATGGTCAAGAGTAACATTTAATGTCTCAGTCGCCTACGGCAGGGGGATAAAAAATATTGATAAATAAAACCTGTATAATATGGCCCTTACATCAAAAATTGATCAGCTATGTCAATTAGGTATACAGTTTCAGTCATACAGAATATATTTTAATAAATTATGAAAAAGATGGAATAGCTATAGTACTACCTGGTAAAATAGAGGGGTACATAACTCCTGCATTAATATCCTCCACTGCATACTGAGCAAAAGAATCTGAGAAAGCTCCTGTTTGTGAACTGGATCCAGAATCGTAGGTAGAGTAATAAGCAGCTAGATGAATCTCGTTTGTCACTTCTACAGGCCCGATCTGAACTTGAGTGAGTGCTGTAGAACTTACGGCACTAGTGGCATCAAAGCTCAAGGTTACTGCTGCATGAGCCTCACATATAGAGCCTACTACAGTAGCTGTACCCTCTGACATAGGAATTGTCTGAAGGTCATCACTAAGGCATACACTAACATCAGCTGTAGTTGTTATATTCTATAATAAACAAGAAATGATTGTAACAGGATGCTGTTACGAAGTCTCCCAAACGAAGCTCCCATAATTCGTAATTCCCAGGGTCGCCTGACAATGGGCAAAGTCCAGTGAAAATTGGTTTGGTCCAGTAAAGTTATATGCATTAGTGATACCTGGGGACTAACCCTGTATATCATTCAAATCATCTTGGCATGACAAACCAGAATATATATGGTTTAGGGGTGGGGATCTCAACCATTTCCAAGATATTAGAACTTTCTCAAATGGCAGGGGGTCGGGATGACCCCTGGGGACTAACCCTGTATATCATTCAAACCATCTTAGCATGACAAACCAGAATATATATGGTTTAGGGGTGGGGATCTTGACCACTTACAAGATATTAGAACTTTCTTAAATGGCATGGGGTGGGGGTGACCCCTGGGGACTAACCCTGTATTTCATTTCATGTGCTTTATAATGACAAACCAGAATATATATGGTTTAGGGGTGGGGATCTCGAACATTTACAAGATATTAGAACTTTCTCAAATGGCAGGGGGTCGGGATGACCCCTGGGGACTAACCCTTAATTCATTTCATGTGCTTTATCATGACAAAACAGAATATATATGGTTTAGGGGTAGGGATCTCGACCATTTACAAGATATTAGAACTTTCTCAAATGGCAGGGGGTCGGGATGACCCCTGGGGACTAACCCTGTATATCATTCAAACCATCTTAGCATGACAAACCAGAATATATATGGTTTAGGGGTGGGGAGCTTGACCACTTACAAGGTATTAGAACTTTCTTAAATGGCAGGGGGTGGGGATGACCCCTGGGGACTAACCCTGTATTTCATTTAATGGGCTTTATCATTTAGAACATTTTCAATTAAAAAGATTGTGTCTATCACAAACGGTTTTCAATTTATAATCATTTGAAAATTTTAAAAAATAAAATCCCATAGGGTTCTATAGTAAAACCCTCTTTTCTTTTTTCCCCTCAAAGAACCCCTTTATAAACCCCATTGCACAAACAAAACCCTGATTGCACCACTAGACATGTTAGTCTAACATATTGTGAAACCCTAAGTTAATCTGACAAGCGGTTTTGGAGAACGGGTGCGGACAAGTTCAAATTTAAAAGCGGCGGAAGAGGAAGAGGAAGAGGAAGAGGAAGAAGAATAATAATAATAATAATAATAATAAGAACTGAGCAAAAACAATAAGTCTTCCCAAATTTCGTTTGGGAGACTTAATAAATAATATCAGTAGCTGCAAAGCACAGGTATGAAAATATTTCTTGTGTTGAAATTACAAGAACTAACAGCAGTTACAAGAACAGTCCTATAAGTATACATTATAGATGGTGAAATGCAAAAAGTAGGTTTATTTACATATCATAATTGTAAATTATAGTTTTCACTCCTCCATAGGCAATCCTGTCAGAAAAATTTCCTTAGGACTAAAAATGTACAATCTGTATGCGCCTGTAATTTAGTGACTGTTGTTTGTTGCAGTATATCATAATGACATATTTGTTTTACATTCATTGTTTTACATTTGTAATTTCTGGGCCTTTTATAGCTTGCTGTGCAGTATAGGTTTGCTCATTTTTGAAGGCTGTAAGGCTGTATGGTGACCTATAGTTGCGTACTTATTCTTTATTTGGTCTCTGGTGTAAACTTGTTTCATTGGCAATCGTACCACATCTTCTAATTTTCATATTGTAAAACAATACTTACTAAAGTGGAATCAGAACCGGAGTAGACTCTTTCTCCTCCTGCATCAACTACCTGTATGACAAGGTAACTTTCAATGGGAAAGTTGGCACCAATCTTTAAATTGATATCATTGGTGGGTGTTACTATCTGTAATCCAGTAGCAGTCTGCTCTGAAAGTGTTAAGAATATTCTAATGTCTTAATTCTTAGGTCTTATTTGATTTTGAGATTCAAAGCAGTCAAAAATTGTATACATGCATGTATAAACCTAAAATTATGAATTCCTACACAAGTAAAATAGTTGTCGGTGTAGACTTTTTTTCTTGACATAAATTTCAATGCATTCTATTGAAAGAGCTACCATTGTAGTAATAAACATTATTTGGGTTGGGTGGGGGAGGCCTCTAAGGCTTAGTGGTCTTAGTAGTCCAACTACTGTATCACTAGCCTGTCAACACTAATGTTGTGAGTTCAAATCCCGCATAGGGCTCGACTTCAATCTTACTGTGGATTCATTTATTTTCGTGGGTATCAATTTTCGTGGATCGAGAAAAAAAGATGTTTCGTGGATCGCTAATTACAGAAAAAAAAAAAATTCAAACACGTAATTCGTGGATTTCTTTTTGATTTTGGAGATCATATAACCTCCTTGGTTTGATCAATAATAAAACAAACAAAAAAGAAGGAATTCATTGAAAAAGTTTTGAATTGTCAAAATCCTCGCTTGGTCATTCTAGATTAAAGTGTTCATTGAAAACTTCTATTACCTGATTACAATAATGGACAGAGACAACTAATTAATTGTTTGTTTTACAATTTATAAATTCTTGTCGGAATTTTATAAGGCATTCAAAACTCTATGATTGAAAGCTCATTTCCCTAATCACGATATAATAAACAGTCATATAAGTAAAAGGTGTGAAAATAAATGTTCCTGTCATAAACAATATTACCTACGGGCAATATCCCCGTACTTCATCCTATTGATTTTTAATCACCAGTAAACCAAACTATGACACGGTAATTAACAACTTGCAATTATTTTCCATGAACAGTTTTAATCAATTTTAAAAAGTAAATTATCACTGATATTCGATATATCTATTATTGATTTAATCTTCTTTCAATAAAAACACGAGTTATGTTACAATGTTTATCGCTAGTCAACACTATACTAGAACTGCATAACATAACCGAAAATAAACATCCTACCCCATACACATTTCTCGGTATTTTCTTCGTTGAATTCTTAAATTCGTGGTTCGCTGTGACCCACTAAACCCACGAAAATTGGTATACCACGAATAAAAATGAATCCACAGTTGTTAATTAGGATGGTTGTTTCCTACCGAAGGTTGGTTGTTTCCTACCGAAGGTTGGTTGTTCTCTCCAGGCATAATTTCTGGCTTCCTCCACCAATAAAAACTGACCGCCATCAATTAACACAATAGTGCTGAAAGTGGTGTTAAACACCAATCAATCAATTTTTTGAGTGGTTCAACTTGAAAGGCACATATAATGATAGTGATGTTCCGATGATCGAAATAAGTCGGAAATCAGTTGTTTGGGCTTGGCGATGTCGATAATCGATTGGGATTTCGTTCAATCGATTGTCGTTATAGTTTCCGGACTTTTAGCATATCATCTTCCAGTCCGTTTCCTGTTTGCATTTTACATGCGCAGTCAAACAAATTGTAACTAAAAGTATCAGTAGATGACAAGAACATTTATTAAGGTTTCATCCATTTATTGCGTTAAAAATGTCATATTCCTTTCCAAATTACCTGTCAAACATCGTTCATTTTTGTAAATTTTCCCGGGTTTGTCCGCCATTGAAATATATACGAATCATGGATCGGATGCGGACCAATTATTAAAGAATTCCGTATTATTATGATTATAAGTACAGACGCACGGATGACACAGCTGACAGAAGAATAATGATCACAAAATGAAAAATATGTATTCCACACGAATTAACAGACATTGGTTGGATCCCCTTAGTTAAATGTATATATTTCAATGCAGATGCATTGTTTTATTTATTAATTAATTTTAAATTGCTTCAAGTTAAATACTTTATATATCTTTTTTTAATGAGAAGCATTCAAATTTTGATACAGCTGTGTATTTGAAATTATAATGTGAGTGATACTATTGAAATTCAGAAACTTTAGTGTCATTGTTGGTAATAAATGTTGTAATTATAAGACAAAATATGTTCAATCTGAATCTGGATTCTAATTGATTCACTGTTTTAATTGCTAAATAAAATACGAAAAGGAAACAAAAGATCAAACATGAACATATAAAACTCTGCAATGATATGGAATATGCGCCATACTGTGCAATTAAAGATTACTTCTTGAAATTTTTCAATATTTGAAATTTGAAAAAAAAAAAATATTTGAAGAATAATTCTTTTTAATTTCTGAAATCTGAAATGAGAAAAAAATTGACCCCCCACAATTTCTTTTTATGGATTTTTTTGTAAAATAAAAAAAGATGCAACATTTGCAGATATTTTTACTGGTCTTCCCTTATAAATATGCATTTCTTTAAACATAATTTAAAAGCAGTGTAAGGGAAGAAATCAAAACATTGTATGTGGATTACCTCCCTTACACTGTTTTAAATTGTCTTAATTGTTCATTAACCATTACTTTATACATAATTTAACAGCAGTGTAAGGGAGGTAATTCAAATGATGTATTTGATTTATCTCCCTTACACTGCTTTAAATTATGTTTTGTACTAAAGCATATAAAAATGCTTGTTTTTTGCCCCTTTTTTTGCCCTTAATTCCTAAAATTTTGAGGTAATTACCCCCAAAATCAATCCCAGCATTCCCCGTTGTGATATGGAACCTTGTGGTACAATGTCAGAGATATCCATACACTAACACACAAGTTATGTCTGGAAGTTACAAAAATGCTTATTTTTGGCCCCTTTTTCCTTAACTGTTGGTACCATAACCCCCAAAATCAATCCCTACCTTCCTTTTGATATATTGAACCTTATGGTAAAATTTCATAGAGATCCATTCACTTAAACTAAAGTTAGAGTGCAAAAACCACTGTGTCTTCGGAGGAGGACACGACGATGCCAACGTCATACCAATATACGATCGCAAATTTTTTTGCGGTCGTATAATGAGTAAGGTATAAGGATGCAATTATAACCGATAGTGGGTTGGTTGCTGTCAACCGATAGTAATAGATAATCGGTTGGTAATTTCAACCGATTATCCTACACTATATATTGATTGATACTTTAAATACACTTCTATATTCTATTTTATCATGTGTTTTGTTGATTTAGAGGAGGAATATGTAGTAAAACTGCAATAAAAATCCTGTTTTGCCACAAAAGTAAACTGGGCTACGTCTATCCTTACATCTTTCCCCCATCTACAATGATTTTTTATTCCAGATTTTTTTCCTGCTGCAATCAAAACTTCCTTTTACAAAGGATTAAGCATGTTTGACCAATAATTTGTTAAAATAGCAGCAGACATACTGCTTTAAAGGATTAAAGTGTTATACCAACAGCGAATTTACTACAATAAAGTACAGTCAAACCCTCCTTAACAGTCACCTTGTTTCAGCAATCACATTTGACATCAACATAAAGATAATAAAGGGTCTGGTTTGGATGGTCCTCAATTCTGTATTCTTTAATTTTTTGGCCTTTTTTCTCTATTCTTTATTTTTTGTCCATTAGTCTCGATTCTGCATTTTTTTAGCCTATTATTGAATTCCCTATCCTGTAAACCCCATCCAGACCCTAAGTATACCACTATTTCACTAACCTGTCACTGGTATACAGTCTGTCAAAAATACAGCACCATCACTTGTTCCATTCATATAAAACAAAATTTTAGATTTTGTTGCATCACTGGCATATAGATCGAAAAATACCTTGTTCATAGTGAAATCATTGTATGTATTTGGCATTCTAGAATGTGGATAATTTGGCATTCTCATGGTCAAATTCAACTTGACACAGGTGTGGACATCCAACAGCCTGACACCAGTAAAAGTCACTTCACCAGCAACTGCTCGTTTATCTATGTACATCTGGTATGTGGACCGACTTAGTTTAGCACCTGTTCCTGAAAGTCTTTCCTAAAATAAAAGAACAAAAATCCATGTGATGAAATTGCCTGATTATTATATTGACATTCTCTAAGATACATGTGTAAAAAAAAAACATAACACTGATTACGCAGACTGCGACATTAAGCGGTACCCCGGAGCTGCTGTGTAGTAAAAATCTAATCGGACTAGTGCAGAAGCACTGGTGATTGCCCGATCAGGCAAGTGAACATCTGAGAGCGTGTGCGAAATCGTAACGAGTATTTTTACAAAACTATGAGAACAATTAAATCTATACTTGAAATTATCATGAGATGTGCTAGCTAGGACAGACAGATGGACATTATAAACAGCATACCATAGTAGATTCATCTTTAATAGATAGGACGTATTGAAAGGTTAAATTAATTACTATTTCTGTAAAATTACCATTGTTTGAAACAGCATGTCCTCGAGTGGGGCCTTTCCATTAAATAACTGTAAATCTTCAAACCATGCCACTTGCAACATAACAGGAAGTGTAGCATCAATACCAGTTGCCACTTTTACTCCAGCACTATCTTGTATTTCAACAGTTATGTCAAAATCTGTATTGGCAATTGTTCCACTTGAAGGCCAGACTGTAATCCCCATCTTGGCTGCAGGAGCTATTAACATGAAGATATATTCATTACTATTTTTCAAATACATGTGTGTATGTGTTCAAGTTTTCAGTGCTTATGTACTTTTATTTTTTTAAATAAAAAGACACATGGACAAATAGGATTATAAGACATTGTCTGGCGACCTTCGGAATGACTGTCCAAGGTTAAATATTTATGAACAGACAGAACTGTGACATTATCTTTTGAATGAGATGGTGGTTGATAAAAGAACAAACATAATAACAATGTTGCAAACAGTTGAAGCTTAAAACAACTGACATTTCATATTTTTCAAGGATGAAAATGGACTGCATTATGCATAGTACTGTGGATTCGTTAATATTCATGGAATATCAGTTTTCATGGATTTTGTTGGTAGTTGAAAACCACAAATTTAAATACTCAACTAAATAGTTCAATACAAATCTTTAGTTACTTTCATAGGAGTAAATACCCGAACAATAAAATTTGAACCCTTGAATTAAAACTTTTTTTTCTATAACCACTAAAATTGATACCAACAAATATATATATATGAATTCAAAGTAATCTAAGGAATTTTCCAGAAAAAACAATATGGCTGGATTGGAAGGCATTTATTTTTTTATGGCCACCACCGATTCAAGTGCCATCCAACCCCCCCCCCCCAAATATTTTTTTCTGGAATAGCCCTAAACAAAAACATGCATATTGGGTTTTGTATTTAATACTAAATAGTAAATAAATACAAACTTACTTGTAATTTCAAATGCATTTGTTGTTACAGATAGAGGGGTTCCTTGATAATCCATAGACAGAACAAATTTGCGGTTGTTTGGGGGTAAAGTTGTGTGTACGTGGTATAATCCATCAGCTGTTAGTTTCCCATCATGCAAAGGGATATCCGATATAACCATACTGGGATTAGTCGTATTACAGTAGAATCTAAAAGAAGAAAAAGGAAAACTGCATCAAACACAGGGATATGTGACATCAACATACTGGGATAAGTCGTATTACAGTAGAATCTAATCAAAGTACTGAAGTACTGAACATTGGATGACCGCAAGTTCTTGTGGACGGTCAAAAGCACTTGTCTCAGAAAAAAAATCTCATTTCTGTACCTGAAAGTGAGGTTAATGTACAGAGATATATTTTTTTCTGAGACAAGTTCGTGCATGGATGATAAATAAATGACAGGGAATTCAACCTCACCGTAACAACTATTATATTGTAGTGATACACATCAGTATACTCTATTTGTTGTTATGTATTATACTAATATTTGTATATAACAGTTACATGTATATATAATTTGCATCCATTTGTATATCATTCTATCCTACTATTCTAATAATAGTGCAGTGCAAGTGCATGGTGGACACTCTTCTGTAATAATTCGATTTTTCTAATAGATTGGATTTGAGTAGGCATTCATATTTTCCCGCAAAACGTTCTTGAGATATTCTTCTGCATGCGATAACACAATTTTTCTGTATGTGTAATGATTTTTTACTTATATATATATTTCTAAAGACAAAACATTTTCATATTATTAATTTATGACCTAAAAAAATATTTTTATGAGTATTCATTGAAGAAATGAATTTATAACAAGGGATAAGGAATGTTATTTTGCACTCTATAATGTCCACGTATTTATAGATTGGTTATCAGTCAAAAACGAAAGTTATGTAAGTAGAAATCTCTGTGGCAACAATACATTGGAATGCCCTCACGGTCTTCGCGATGTAAAAAGTAGAAAAAGGAAGATAACCATACTGGGATTTAGTAGTAATACAGTAGAATCTGAAAGTACAAAAAAGAAAATTGCATCAAACACAGGGATATGTGACATCAACATACTGGGATTAGTCGTATTACTGTAGAATCTGAAAGTACAAAAAAGAAAATTGCATCAAACACAGGGATATCTGATACATGTATCACCATACTGGGATTAGTAGTATTACAGTAGAATCTGAAAGTAGAAATAGGAAAATTGCATCAAACACAGTGATACCTGATATCACTATACAGGGATTGGTAGTATTACAGTAGAATCTGAAAGTAGAAAAAGGCAAATTGATCAAATTAATATTATATGGACTATAATTTATAAATAGTATATATTTGTACATAAATCAGGCCATAAGTTTTCTCATTTGAATCATTTTACATTTGTCATTTTGAAGCCATTAATAGCTTACTATGCAGAATGGGTTTTGCTCATTGTTGAAGGCCATAAGGTGACCTACGTCATTTTGTCTCTGGTGGCGAGTTAATTCATTAGCAAACATTCCACATCTTATTTTTATATAGTGTCAAATTTCATCATACTTATATCTGAAACAAAAAAAAACATTATTAACATTTTATATAAGAGGTATTAAGTTGTTTTACAGAAAAATCGGTTTCTATGGTACTGGACTGGTACTTAATACCAAAAAACTATTCAGTTTTAAAAAGATTTGATTTTGATTCGATTTTTGGTGTTTTAACGCCACTTTTAAGCACCCCTTTTGGGCTATTTCGTGGCGGCCAGTTTTTGTTGGTGGAGGAAGCCGGAGTGGCCGGAGAAAACCACAGACCTTCGATAGGAAAACTGACAATCCTAGTAAATTAAGATTGGAGTCTAGTGCACACGCACGAGCGGGGTTCGAACTCACAACTTCAGTGTTGACTGGCTAGTGATTACAGTAGTAACTACTTAGACCACTCGGCCACCGAAAAGAGATTGAACTTATAAATAGGGATATAAAAGTTCGTTAAAAAATAGATTATATGCATTTTTGTGTAAGCTGTATATTTTACATTCTACAACTTTCTTTGCAGACATGACAAAAATAGGCAATAAAAGGGAATTTGTTTTTCTTAAAATCAACACAAAAAAATGGGGAATGTGTCCATGGGACACAGATGATGCCCCCGCTTGCATATAATGTTATAAAGGGACATAACTCAATAACTGTAAAAGTGACGCTACCCAAATTTGTACTTGATCTGAGTTTTGTGCTAATTAGCATTGTTTATAGGTTTCATAACATTTAGTTGAGGCAAACTTAAGTTAGAGAACGGAAACGAAAAATTCAGAAATTTTTCCATTTGTAAAGGAGCATAACTCTAGAACGGTAAAAGTGACACCACCAAAATTCAAACTTGATCTGTGTTTTGTGGTAATTAGCATTGTGCATAAGTTTCATAACATTTGGTTGAGGCAAACTAAAGTTAGAGAACAGAAATGAAAATTTCAGCAATTTTTCCATTTGTAAAGGGGCATAACTCTAGAACTGTTAAAGTGACGCCACCAAAGTTAAAACTTGATCTGTGTTTTGTGGTAATAAAAATTTTGTCAACCAAAAGAACAACAAATTAATGTAGGCCTAACAACAGAATAATAAATAACTTACTTATAATCTCTGCCTTCATATGTGTTCGGATATTCTCTTCTATTGGCATATTGACAAAGATTAGCTCCTCCTGTTGCAAATGTATCTGGAGATGCACCGGTTGCATCTATGGAGGTCACAGTAAAGGTCAAGCCTGCCGTGTCAGTTATTGTTGTTCCTGTTCCATCGTCCAATCTGGCAATAACGCCTTTACTGATGATGTGTCCTAATGATACACTGTATATTCTATCAGCATCAGCTGGGATTGACGCTGGAGGTGAATGATTTGTATCAAGTACTAGAGTTGGTACTGCATATATCAAAGGGGCTGAAAGCAGAATTTGAAGAATTAAACATCTTAAAAAAATACCTTTTTCATATACCTCTGATTTGATCACCCTTTTAATTTGTATATATCTCATTTTCTTCATTTCAATCCTTAAAACCTTTTTATATTGAAATCATCCTCTAACATTTGTCTAAGTCTTTGAACCCTGGAATGGAGCAAATGTGTGATGAAATTATCATTAAATATACCTAAATTGCTTTTTTTAGAATGACTATTTCCAACTTATAAATGACTTCTTTTATGAAGCATAGTTTTCAACTCATAATCATTGTGTAAATAAAGTTATCATTTGAATTTTGAAATGTGTTGCCCGTTAAAAGGCTGCATCAAATGCATGAATCTGTAAATAAAACAAGGAAAATTTCAAAAATATTGATTGCTTTTGCAACATAGCAAAATAAACAACAACTTGCATCATTTTTTTTTTAGTAAAATCTTTCTCAAGAATTCAATTCAACAATTATTTGAATTCAAAGCTTATTTTTGATAATTAAATGACTATTATTCAATATGCCTGAAATCATAAATATATTGTCTAGCAGGGCCGCAATTAAAAATATCTTTGTTTCCCCTTACCCTACCCACCATTTTGGAAGTGGGTAGGTAGGTAGGCTTTTTTTTTTTTTTAGAGAAAATCCCTGAAAAATATCTAACACACAGAAAAACACAGAAAAACAACAAATTGAACTTTATTGATACTAAAACAACATACTGTATAACGTATTATGCATGACTAGAAGACCTTACAATTTCTAGACTAGAAAATGTTAATAAATATCAATGTCTTTGTGACTTAGAGTAGACCACATATAAATTGAGACACGGTTCTATATTTTTCTTATAGTTTTATTAATTCAATTGAAAATATAAAACCCCAACCAGACTGCTACCTAGTAACATTCGATGTAAAAAATATGTACACTTGTTTTTCATTTAAGGAAATACTAGAAGCCACAAACCCTGATCCAAGCGAGTATGACTACGCCTATTAAGGCTTATTCTAGAAAACTATGAATTTATTTTTAACAATAAACTTTACCATGAACCCAGTTGGGCGTGCCTATGTGCGGATCAGCATTCGCTGAGTTAGCAGACCTTACAATGTTTGTAAATTCTTGAACACATTTTACAACGCTTTCAACACAGAGAAACAAAATGAAAATGATAGTTGAAGTTCACCTACGAATTTTCCTGTAATGAAACAATATTCTTATACACTGTCATAATTATACAAAGGAGAAAGATTCTTTAACGAAGGCATAGTATGATACAAGACATTAAAACCAATATCAAACCAACTGAAACATATCAATATCTGCACAGACACAGCTCACACCCAAAAAGTGTTTTCATTGAAAGGATTTATCAAGGGTGAAGTATTGAGGTATCTCAGAAACACAAGCAGCAAAACTGATCTTAAAAAAAACGCTCAAACAAGGATATCAAATATCTGAAATCAACGATTTTTTTTATCAAACACAAAATACAGAAAGGGAAAACTTGCTAACACATTGCCCAGCGAAACGGTATGTAATGTAGTAATGTTATATACAGAAACTAAAAATATAATAATGAAACACTGGCATCTTATTTCACAAAACCCTGAATGTGTGACCATATTTAATCATCAGCCCATTAAAGGCATTATAGCTTATAAAAGACATAAGAACTTACAAGAACTTTTATCAAAGCATTAGCTGGTATAGTCATCTCGACTTTTCACAACACAATATGATACTGAGCTCGAAAAAAATCAACGACTATTTTATACAAAGACAACTGGTGTATGGTCCAATATCACATACGAAATGAAACAAAATAGCATAAATAGCGATCCAATATACAACTTATTGAGTCAACCACTGATGAAGGCGAACTCAGGGATTTACCACAAACACGGCAGAAACACCGGGCCTAACATTTAAGCTCAAGGGTGAGCTCGGATGCGCAATCGTAACTACTCAGCCATTCTCGCTACGCATTTTGTTATTGGAGGCGTAGCTAGAATGGAAGAGTAGTTACGATTGCTCGGATGCATTTATTTAAAACATTATTCCATTCCAATTTCAGTATCCTTGCCTACGTTGTTTACCCTTTGCTGCAAACACACGGGCAACAATGATTTCGCGGAATGATGAAAATACGGACCATTCAAGGAAACGAAATTAAAAAACGAACTTTTGAGCGAAAAGACAAAAAAAAAAAACAACAACGTGATTTTTGAAAAAAATTATTTCAGTCGGCGGATTTTTAGAGGGTTGGTCGGGTAAGGGGAAACAAACTTAATTTTAATTTTGGCCCAGGTGCTTGTTTGACAAGTATCATTTCTCTCAGTGATAGCATATTTTCAAACACCTATAAAGCTAGAAAAACTAGAGCTGTCTGCATAGCATGACAAATAGCCCTAAGCTGTTTTGGGTGCTGCTGTGAAATTCAGTACATGTATGCTAGAACAATTTCGGGAAATTTTTAAAAGTTTTTCCCGATTTGATTTCTTTTATTATTGAATCACGATAACTTCCCTTAAACTACCACGTTTCATTCATTCATCTAAAGTATTTAACATGTTAATCCAAGCACAATGTAAGTAGTTTTTTTATGTCATTAGTGCACATTTAAATAGTTTTCTATGAATATAAATTGTAGTTTTTGTATGCTGCGCAATAACGGCATTTTCAGATTATTTGGTCAAAAGGTCAAGTTGAGAAGATTTTTTATGTATGGAACGCCATCTGTGCTATAATACTATGATTGTTTTTGAGAATTATATTTTTAACATGTATTTGAAATTTAGTAATAATTTCATTTATTATTTGCATTTAATTGCATGTGTAACTAAAGTGTAGATCTAGGTAATTTCTACTGATAAACCATATTTTTTCTATTTATGAGATATTTTCATGGTACACTAGGTATTCTAAACATGCAGTTAATATTTTGTGATAAAAAATTTTCTACTCGATATTGGAACAATACACACTTGATATGTTCTATAAAGATTGCTAATGTAGTCTAGATTTTGCAGCTAATAATGTTCCTAAAAGATTGTTGCTATTTTTATTAAGGTTTTTTTTCAGTAACAAATTTCTACAATATTGTTTTGTTTTTATATTGTAGCTTTTCACCATTACGGCATATGACAATCTTTCAACAACTAATTAACAATAAAAATATACCATGGTTAGCTGTCTGTTTATTTGTGAGACAGCACAACATGTATTGAGACAATGACCTTCTGAGCCATTCATTTTATATAATCATTGCCTCTGTGTTAGATTCACACATGGTTACTGATAAGTCAATCTGAAAGAATTATTAAACGTGTTGTTTTCAATTTTATACTGACCTAGGAACAAAGTCTAAGGTTCCTATACTATAAATTCAGAAATTAAAGGTCATAGGCAAAGTAAGTACATGTACATTGTATGATGCTTCGGCATACAAAGTTTTAATCTAAATGCAACAATACAGAAGTTATGCACCAAACACAAATCAGACAAAGTTTTACTATCATAGAGGTCAAGGTCAAATTCATTGTAAAATTAATGTGGATAATGTCCACATGTGGAGACAGATGATGCCCCAGCTTGCATATCATAGTTATAAAGGGACATAACTGAAGAACGGTAAAAGTGACGCTACCCAAATTTGAACTTGATCTGAGTTTTGTGGTCATAAGCATTGTGTGTCAGTCTCATAGCATTTGGTTGAGGCTAACTTAAGTAGAGAACAGAAACTAAAAATTCTGTAATTTTTCTATGTGTAAACACGCATAACTCTTGAACGGTTGTGTATAAGTTTTATAGCATTTGGTTGAGACAAACTAAAGTTAGAGAACGGAAACGAAAATTCAGCAATTTTTATGTTTATAAAGGGACATAACTCAAGAATGGTAAAAGTGTCGCCACCAAATTTTGTACTTAATCTTGTATTATGTAGTAATAAGCATTGTGTATAAATTTCATAACATTTGGTTGAAGCAAACTAAAGTTAGAAAACGGAAACAAAAAAATTGTACTTGATCTTAGTTTTGTGGTAATGAATATTGTGTATAGGTTTCATAATGTTTGGTTGGGGCAAACTTAAGTTACAGGATGGAAACTAAAAGTTTTGCAATCTTTCGATTTATAAAGGGTATAACTCAATAATGGTTAAAGTGACACTACCCAAATTCAAACTTGATCTGTGTTTATCAGTGGAAGTCAAAATTAAACATTGCATTGTATAAAGCATTGATTGTAGTTGATTCAACTATAATCATGGACAAAGGAAGATAACTCCAATTTTAAAAATAACTTGATATTGAAAATTAAATAAAAATTATAACATTTGGTTGAGGCAAACTTAAGTTAGAGAACGGAAACTAAAAATTTTGCAATTTTTCCATTTATAAAGTGGCATAACTCTAGAAAGGTTAGAGTGATGCCACCAAAATTCAAACTTGATCTGTGTTTTGTGGTAATAAGCATTGTGTATAAGTTTCATAATATTTGGTTGAGGCAAACTCAAGTTAGAGAAAGGAAACCAATTTTGGGACATGTACGTACAGACGGACATGGGTAAAACTTAATGCCCCCACTGCTACGGTGGGGGTATAAAAATCCCATGTTGTACCAGCATACCAAATTTGGTCAACCTAAGTTCTATGGTACAAAAGTTATGTGCAGGACACAAATCATTATGTCCAAACACATAGTAAGTTACATGAAAAAATTCTATACTCTGGGGTCAAAAGTTGGTATTATGAAAATAGTCGTGTTAACTCATTGTTTCCGGCAAATGAACATTTACCATTTGTATTATTATAAGTTTTCTTAACAATACAGGAGGGTCTACTCTAGATAAGAAGGGGGTCCTTCAATTTTTAAACCATTTTTCTCTATTCTTTGTCTATTTTGCCCACTATTATCTATATTTTTTATGTATTAGCACCCCACTATTCTCTATATTTTTTATGTATTAGCACCCCATTATTCTCTATTTGTTTGCCTATTTTTCTCTATACTTTTTGTTTGCACTTTCTTCTGCACATTTTGTCCATTACCCTCTACTCTATAAACCCCATTTAGATCCTCATATAGAGGTCGAACTGAAACCTAAACTCCATCTTACTGGGGACATATTCATCACATACCTATATAGCAAATTTTGCCAACTTCTCAGTCAAATACAAGCATACTGGAGCGTCGATAATTCAGTAATTTCAAAAACCCAATAACATGTCATATATAAAAGATACTAGTATACGTTCCTGCAAAAAAGTTAATGTGATAATAGGATATCCTCAGCAGTGCAGCATGTTATATTAGGTTCCGAGAATCCCATCCTTCCCTCAAATGCGATTGGGTACATGTTGTCAAACCTTTGAGCGGAAAGAAACGCACTTTCAGTTTTCAAAACGTAACTTCGTCTTCAAAACTGGGCGGGCGGATTTAGATAGGAACCCGTCCCTTTTACATGTTTTGCGAAATGAAAACGGAGACAATACGAAGATATGACATTCACTTTTACTGACAAATAAAAAGTGTACCCCTCCCCCATTTTTTTCCAAAAATGAGCCTTCTCATGGGGTTTTTGATTATGTGATTACTTGGCCGTTTTATACTGATTATTTGATTACCATTCCAAATATTTCATGATTATTTGATAATCTAGGACTGTATTTTTTATTATTTGATTATCTTGTTTTAAAATATAATTAATGATTATGTGATTATTTGGACACCCCCATGAGGGGCCTCAAAAATATGGATCCGACATTGCGGACTAACTTGATCTTTTCCTAGTTTCCTTCCTTTTTAATTTTTCGTTGACTCTCCTTTTGCTTGTTTTCTCGTACGATGAAAACCACAATCTATTATATATATGCAAGTCCGTCCGTTCAGTTATTTGACATGGATAGGACTAGTCTATAATATTATCCAACTTTCTTGTCCCAGTCCGATAGCTTATAATTAGTGGTCTTAAAGTTTCAATTAAAATTTCTTACATTCCATTTCATTGGAAATGGTTTTATGTTACAGTAAGTTGTAGGTATCAACATGACAAACAGGGCTTTATAAGCAGCATCCATGCTTCCATGAATGTTTTTAAACTTGAATTCATTATTAGCTAGATTGATTGATAATCAAATTGACTGCGGCTACTAGCCTATCCATTGTTTATAAAAATGTTCTATACACTTTAGAAGATGGTAGTTGGAGCAGAGCATTTGGAAATCTGCCTTCTTAAAAATGTGTGTAAATGCGATCCACGATCCACGGTGTCGGTGAGACCTTGATAAAAATTTAAACCATTCTATACAAACTTGAATAAAGATATGTGGTTATAGTATGTCACATATATATATATAGTCCTTTAAATCACTTACCAATATACAAACAGATGGAAAACAGCTGACTTGTATAAATTATATTCATTGCGAAAAATATTATAAATTCATTGATCAATGGCCCGCCATATCTTCAACTAGAACGCACTAGAACGTTAAATGACGTCACATGAATCAATCCGCCGAAGTATAATAGATAAAGTGTAGGCTATTGCCAATTTTTTTTATTAAGCAACATATTTTATTGAAAATTGTGAGGATGCACATGCAATGCTGTCTCAAAAAGTTGTTCTTTACAATGTTTTTATAAGTATCATATGCATCGTTTCAACGTTTGGGTTTATTTTCATCATCGGATTTGCTTCCGGTGTTCGTCTACTGATCTTTACTGGTTTCCCGCTTTTCGGATTTTTTCCGAAATAGTTCTGATTTTCCCGCGTGAACACATTTGCGCTGACAGGGATTTGTGAGGGTGGTAAAGGGTTATTTTCGTGCAACGTGATCGTCGTTTTTTATTTCACGTTCAACGTGTTTTTACTTTTTTATTTAACGTTCAGTCGTGCAAGACAGGTGCCTCGTTCAACGTGTTCTGCTTATTTAATTTTCGTGCATCGTGATTTTCAAATGCTTATTTTGCGTGCTCGGTATTTTTCAAATAAAATTCAAATACTTGGCAGGAATGTCAAGAAATGCTTTTTTTAAAAGCCGTAAACCATTTACATCATAAATGTGTATACTAAATCGGGAATAACAAGTAAAACAGAGAGTTTATATATACAAGAAGACAGTGACTCAGTCACAAAAGGTTCACAACAGTCTTTATTTTTCGTGCAACGTTCATGACAGAAATTATTTCACGTTCAACGTGAAATTGTGTCTTATTTCACGTTTTTTCAGTTCAAGCACCCCCCTTTACCACCCTCATTTGTGGTTACCGTAGATCTTAACGAATATAAAAACTTACTACGAAACAAAACAAGATTCACGTGCGTGTGTGTATTATGTGCGCTGTCAGATTTTGCTATCACTGGCGGAGACGCATTATACATAGGCGGATCCAGGGGGGCCGGCCTCACCCCCTTTTTGTGTGAAAAATTTGGTTGATTATATAGGAAATCACCTAAGCATGACTAAGCGGGCCCGCTCTTATGGCAGTCGGTGTCCCCTTATAAAAAGTTCTGGATCCGCCACTGGCATACGCATTAGCAGCTAGTTAGGAGGGTAGGAATGCCCTTTACCGTCAGTCGTCAAACGGTGAGCCTCCTCATGGAGTTTTTGATTATGTGATTACTTGGCCGTTTTTAAAATGATTATTTGATTACCATACCAAATATTTCATGATCATTTGATTATTTGACATCCGTATCGCCCGTAGGTCCAGAAATTTTTGTAGTGTTTTCAACAAATATTTGACCCTCGAACTTTTCATTTCAATTTTATGGAAAAATGAGGTGAAATGTATATGATTTTTTTACCTCTTGATAGATAAATGTCAATGGTTTCAGAAAAGGTATCACTCTAATGGATTTAAATTTCTTCTTTTGACCAAATTTTGGGGACTTTTGTGACATTTTCACCCCCCTTTTTGCAATATTTTGTACCAAATAAATGCAGATTGTTGCAAAGGTTACACCAAAAAGAGATTATATTTCACCATTTTAACTATTGGAAATCAAATCTATGGAAGATGCTGTTTCCATACATATGCAGATACATAGCACAAACATATTAAGCCTTATTTGTAAGAAAGCAAGGAAAAGAGGGTGGTTAAAAATTATGAGTGTCCATTTCAACTCCCCCCCCTCCCCGCCACCCCCGGGCCGATAAATATTTGCGCCTTATAGTAATTCCATGCACCAAATATATAATTGACCTATTGTATAAAGTGCGCGCCGCGACTGGCGTACCAAACTATAAGCCTGTTATCTTTGATCATGCAGCTGTAATATGAGGATCCGAAAACTTAATGCGTTGACCAATGAACCATTAAAATGAGGTCAAGGTATGATAAACTTTGCCATACAGACATGACAGACCGACAAAACAGACAGACAGACAAATCGATCCGGGGGCAAGATTTTGAAACATGGTTAGGATATGCTTTCATAACATTTCTAGTTATTTTATGAGCATTTTGATTTTCAGATTTTAAGGTTTACATTTTCCCATTTAAAATTTAAACTTTGGATGGAAAATTTCCATCATATTAAACCCCTGTATCAAAGGTTATCAGAAAAGCAATCTAGTTATGCCCCATGCAGGCTAGGGGCATTATGTTTTTTCGGTCTGTGCATCCGTTCGTCCGTCTGTCCGGCTTCAGGTTAAAGTTTTTGGTCAAGGTAGTTTTTGATGAAGTTGAAGTCCAATCAACTTAAAACTTAGCACACACTCCCTATGATATGATCTTTCTAATTTTAATGCCAAATTAGAGTTTTGACCCTAATTTCACGGTCCACTGAACATAGAAAATGATAATGCGAGTGGGGCATCCGTGTATACTATGGACACATTCTTGTTAAAATATATATCTCTGATTTCGTTATACTCATATGACTCTTGTGGAGATTACGAAATCAGAGGTCTATATTTTATTAATTAGATTGTTAGAAAGTTTTCCAGATTACCATTTGTTTTATTACATTTGGTCCATTGTGAATCACATTAAGATGATTTTTTTTTTGCATTTCTATACCTGAGTACCGGACCAAACAAACAAAAAAACGTTAAACGTAATTTTAACGTATAAACTATCATGATGAAATGTACACCTTACAGGCCTCCAGCATCACGCATCTGGTTTAGTTAAATTGGAACCGTCAGGGACATATAATACAATATATATAATTGTATTATTTGTCTCTCGTACCGTTTATGATTTTGATTATAATTATTCCACTGTAGTCTTTTGAATTGTCTGTAGTGTAACTAGTGTCCAATTGTAATACAGGGGCGGGTCCAGCCATTTTTAAAAGGGGGTTCCAACCCCCGGAACCCTCCCCCTGGATCCGCATAATTCTGCAATAATTAGATCAAGTGCACAGTTATACAATAACTTTCATAATTCTGCTGTATCTTGAATCAAGTACAAAGCTTTATTATTATTGTCATAATTCTGCCAAGATTTATTTCACGTGCACAGTTTTACAATTATTTGCATAATTCTGCAATGATTTTTTTCAAGTGAACAGTTTTACTGTTATTTGCGTAATTTTGCAATTATTTCAATCAAGAACAGTTTTGCTATTTTATAATTGTATGACGAACCTGGTGGCATTACTTTACGTGCATACGTATGCACAGTTTTACAATTGTTTGATGATCTAGGCTTCATTACTTTGCATGCATATATGAACTGCTCACTTGTACAATTTCCTGGGGAATTGTGCATGGTGCACACAGATCGTATGCAAATTGTACAACAATGCATGCCCAGTTCAACAAACTTTGGTAAAACTGGGCATTCCATAACTATCAAAGCATGCCCAGTTTTACAATTGTATGACGAACCTGGTGGTATTACTTTACGTGTAGAGGTATGCCCAGTTTTACAATTGTTTGATGATCTAGGCTTCATTACTTTACATGAATATATGAACTGCTTACTTGTACAATTTCCTTGGGAAATGTGCATGCATGGTGTACAGATCGTATGAAAATTGTAAAACAATGCATGCCCAGTTCTACAAACAATTGTAAAACTGGGCATGCTCAGTTCTACAAAATCATGTGACAAAACATACCTCCATTGGTGTATGGAATTATTGTAAGATGTACATGTCCGTCTGGCAGGTTTCACCTGACCATAACCTTTTTTCATGCTTCATTGGACACCGTGAAGTTTTGCCGGTTTTGTCTATTTCTAAAATACTATAAGCAATAGGGTAATGATTGTAAGGTGTACATGTCTGTCTAGCAGGGTTCATCTGATCTTGACCTCGTTTTCATTTTGTATTAGTCAATGTTAAGTTTTCATGGTTTTGTATGTTTATCATAAACTATAAACAATAGGTCAACTGTACTTAATTGGTGTATGGAATTATTGCATAGTGTACATGTCATCAGACCTTGATCTCAATTGTATGGTTCATTGGTTAATGTGCAATTTTGATAATGAGGTCTGTTTCTCAAACACTATAAGCAAAGGCTAACTATATTTGGTGCATGATAAGCTCGTTAGGTGTACATTTCTGTCAAGCAGGATTCATCTGAACTGGATCTCATTTACATGGATCATATTGATCTTGATGTTAAGTTTATGTGATACTTGTAGTAAACCTCTCATATTACAGACTTTCTAAGTAAAACAGGAGAGATATTTAAGCTTGTGCATTCTTGTTTTCTGATATATGATAATCTTTTTGTTATTCCAGCCAAGTTCGGTTAAAAATATTGATGAATTAGTGCAGAAGCAATGACGAAAATGTGAAAAATTATTGAAGAAGTGCATGATGAGGGGGTGCAGGCCGTTTCGTAACTAGTCGATTCGTAACTTACTAGGTCGTTTCGTACCTGAGACGTTTTGTAACCTTATATCAATATATAATAACAATATGAGTCACTACTTGTTACTTTTTTGTGTAGTTAAAAAACATATATCAGAAAGATTGATTGTTATTATAACTGTAAATTAATTATTATTAATTAAAATTCTTAAACTTTAAATTAATTAAATGGCTTACGTTGTGTAAGTGGTAACTGCAAGCAGTAAAAGTTATGATCACATAGCTTGAATGTTAAAACAACAATTAATTTCTCTTCCTATCATACGCTTGGTAAACACAATTGTTAAATCAAAAATGTTGTTTTAAGCCGTTTACACAAATATTTAGACTTCAGAGGGTACGTAAGGATAAAATCAAACGTTTCTATGTTCAGTTTACAAATGTCAGACAACATCCCTCTGACAGACTTGAACAGTGGAACAGTGGAACAGAAACCAAACAGGTACCTCTCATGTATGTTATCATGTCACGTCGACGCACGAAGGACTATGTCTCAGTTCTTAGGGCCATTTTGCAACTACTGCCACGCACTGCCGTTCAAAAGATTATAGCAGACTTTGAACGTGGCCTGCGGAATGCTCTACACCATCTGTTTCCAGGAGTCCCCGTCCAAGGTTGTGCATTTCAGTTACAGATTAGGTAGCACTCCACAGTTAGAAAATAAAATTAAAATTGAACCACAAAATGTTTAATCATCTTCTCTCAGTGGCAGCTAGATCCAGGGAAGGGGGGGTCCGGGGGGTTTGGACCTCCCCTTTTTTGTTGACGATCATTGGGGGAAATATGGTTGGAACCCCCCTTTTAAAAAGGCTTGATCCGCCCGTTCTATTCCATTAAGCCAACTGTTTGTGTCATACATGTGCATATGTATGTAATCAGTATCTTCTATAGATTTGATTTTCAAAAGTTAAAATGGAGAAATATAATTCCTTTATTGTGTATCCATGGCAACATTCTGCATTTATCTACCATAAAATATTGCAAAAAGGGGCTTGAAAATGTCACATATTCCCGCAAACTAGAATTTCAATGCCTCTGAGTGATACCTTTTCTGAAACTGTTGACATTAATCTACCAAATGATAAAATAAAAATTGGGGCTTTCGCCTTATTTTTTTTGTTAAATTTAATCACAAAGTTTGTGGTCAAAAAGTTGGAAAAAAAAACATTACAATAATTGCAGGACCAATGTCTGGTATGGATATGAAATAACGGACTGTCAGACAAAAAAAGCCCATAATACAAACCCACTATGAGGGCTATATTAATTTTTAGCTATCCAAAAATGAATTTTATTGCACACTAGCTGTTATATTTGAAAAATCCACAAGGGCTAAAATGCGAAACTACACACCTAACGGTGGAGAGCTACATTAGGGGTTTGATAAAGCCTTTACAAGTGTGACTGATATTGATGACGTGACGTCATAGAGTTTTAGGGGTTTGACTAAGCTTATGTAAATTTGACTGATATCGAGATCATCACGGATGGTTGATACAACACAATGGTCATTGATTGTATTACACATACAGTTTACCTATATATACTACTAAGTATATAATAAATAAAGTTATTGCAATAGATTAAAATATCACTCTGATCACAGTTAGCAGTGTGCTAAATTATTGATTTTATAGCACAATACATTCAAGTGTTTTCTTACACAAGAAGTCAGTTCACTTTTTCATCAACAGCTACTTAATTTGTTTTTGTTATATTCTTAAATAAGTATACTTTAATGATAGGATTCTTTTTAAGAAAACCATTATGCAGAATAGGGTCTCAGTCTTAAAGACTTGGGTCAGTGGCATAAAAGGATATGTGAGGTTTATATCATAGGCGTTTCTAGGATATTTGAAAGAGGGGGTGTATCAAATCTTTGGCCAAGCGGAGCAAGGCGAAAAAAATTTTGGACCATTTTTTTGCTAAAAAACATAATATAATTGTGAAATGCTCTAATTTTTTGTGGTCTGAGGCTGAGTCTGTGGGGACATTTATAGCATGTTGGTCTTGGACAAAAGATAAGACTTCAAGCAACATTTACATAAACACAAACTTTATCTTGTAAACTATGCAAAATCTTCAAAGTCAATAATCATGATGAATGGGCAGGGACAATATCCATGGAAATGAGATGTGCCAATGCAAATACAACTGCATACCAAATATTATTGACCTACCACTAATGGTTCCCCATAAACCTACACCATCACAAACTAATACATTTTGACGCCGCCACTGGAAACAGGATGCTTGTCTTGCTTTTTCAATTTTTTTTAAAATGAGAAAGAAATGTAAACAGAAATTAACTCAAGATTGATGCAGTTGTTTGGTTAATTTCCTGATGCAAATATTTCATGAATATTCAGGAAAAAAACAAATTAACAAACAAGGAATGAACTGTCAAATTGACAGCAAACTTGGTTTTCTGTATTTTGAAAGGCGCTTTCAAGTTTGTTTGACCTGCCCCATTCTATGCCTATTTTCCAATCTATCAAGGACCATAACTCCTAAATGGCAAAAATGAAATCGTCAATATCAAATTTAACCACTATTATGTCATTATTAACAGCATATTCAAATTTTAAGAGCATTGGTTAATGGTTCATAAGTAATTGCACAGAAACGACATAAAGTGCCATTTTCAATCTACCAAGAACGAATACTCCTTGACAGCAAAAGTGAAAATCATCAATATCAAACTAGACCTCCAATTTTTCATTAGTAACAACTTATAAAAATTTTAAAAGCATTGGTCAAGTGGTTCATAAGTAATTGCATGGAAAGGACAAAGTAGCATTTTCCACTAGAGAACAAGGACCATAAACTCCCGAACGGTAAAAGTGAAAATCATCAATATTGAATTTGATTTCCATTTTGTCATCATTAACAACATATTATAATTTGAAAACCATTAATAGGAGGGTTCATTAGTTATTGAATGGAAACAATATAAAGTGCCATTTTCAAATCTATCAAGGACCATATCTCCTGAACGGTATAAGTGACAATTGACCTCCATTTTGTCATTATTATCAACATATTAAAATTTTAAAAGCATTGGTTGAATGGATCATAAGTTATTGCATTGAAACTGTTGGCAGTCAGTAGGATCTGCAAATGGATGAAGGACATGAAATCTGGACTGCTACTAAAAAATGGAGGTATGTTTGATAGGGACCAAAAGTTTGCCTTGGAACAGGCCACCTATGATACCCCTCAAAGAAAATAACTAAGATAAAACTATAAATCTTCCATTTATTCAAATAACATTGCATCTACAAAATCACAGGTAAACATATCACACTTAAATAAAATTATATAATTAAATTAAATTCCTAAAAATTTCATGTAAACAAGTCAGGACTATTCAATTAAAATAAAGTTTTTTCGTTTTTGGATATTGTGGGCTATTAATGATTGTATGTCAATTGAATGTATCAAAAGTTACCCATAGAAAGTATGGAGTAGAAAACACTTAAAGTTTGTTGGCTGTTTTGGGATTTTGGAAGTCCCTTCAGTATCAATTTTAATGGAATAGTCCCAAACAAGATTGTCAATATCTCAAAAATTTCCATTTTCACAACTTCATTTGTTTTAAATGGCACATACTTTTCTAGCAAACAATTTTTTCTTGAAATTTAACATGCTCAACATGAAATAGAATATACAACTATTAAAATGCTTTTAACAAAATAAAATTTGTAAAAAGGTCAACATGAATTTTCTGTAAAATTGTATTTGTTCTATGTATTCATGTGGATATCAAAGGTAAAAAAAGAAACATAAAATGTGATATGTTTCTCTTGAACACATAGCAAGATTCAAAACAAACTAAAGAAGTAAAAAGGTTTAAACAAATAATTAAACACAAAATAATTTCACATGTAATCGTGAAGTATTCTACATCTATGTACCTTTATTAATAGATACTGCCATTAAATTTTGATAAATGTGAATCATTATTCAAATGTAGTGAAATAAAAATATGAATCATGATACATTTGTAGTAAAATAAAAATGTGAATCATTGTACATTTGTTGTGAAACAAAAATGTGAATCATGGTACATTTGTAGTGAAATAAAAATGTGAACCATAGTACATTTGTATCTAAATAAAAATGTGAATCATTGAACATTTGTAGTGAGAAATCTGCTATTGTTACAAACAACTGATTATTCAACATTTAATTATATAAATTTAAAATCATGGTTTTTTATAATCTTTTTCATGAAGTCATCTCAATATTTACTTCTATGTAGCTCTGCTGCATAAAGATATAATATAAACAATATTTTACAGCTGTTTCCACACAATAACACATGACCATTACGGAAGATTATTAAAATTTACATTAATTACATACAAAATGTATACTAGGACTTTTAGGAATATTGGAAACCTTTCAAATTGTATCAAAAGATGATGCTTTGTCAGAGAATCTAGTAAATCTTTGAACATTTTCTATTCAGCTGATACACGCGGGGTTCGTACTCAAAATCTCAGTGTTGACAGGCTAGTGATACTGTAGTTGAACTACTTAGACCACTCTGCCATTGAGGCCCTTACAACCATGAAGAAGTACATTCTTAGAATTTAATTCCATCTTTTTTTTTTTGGTTTTGTGTTTGAATAAATTTATAAAAAAAATATTTTACAATCATTGCACTCGAGATATTTTTAATTTTCTATGAAATTGTGGAGACATAAAATATTTTATAATTTGACTATGAATCTGATAAAAAATGTTCTAAAAATCTCAAAGGAACATGATATACAACATGATACACAATTTCATAAAGGAAAAAAAAAGATGTGGGGTATCATTAAAACAGCAACACAATGACATACAGAGGGAAACACACAGTCTTCAACAATTATTCATATTTTCTCATTTTACCTAGCAAGTTTTAATAAGTATATTTCCTAATAGAAAATTATATGAAAATTTCTTCATTAATGATGTTCAATGTGCAAAAAATAAGTTTATTAGTAAAATATGAAATACAAAACAAGGGTAAAACTTTAATGCCCCCTCCCCTACGGCGGGGGCATAAAAAGTGTTTCTTTTCTACATTTTAAAAATCTGCTTTTACTCGAAAACTGTACATGGCTGTAAGAAACGTATAAAAAATTCTGTAAAATATTTGCAGTAAATAAAATAAGAAAAGCACAACTCTTAATTGTAAATATTTAATAAAGAACTCTAACATATTTAATAGTAAAAAAGCATTAACAAAAATGTATATATGTTGCAAAATACATGTTGTTTATTGGTCACATGTCAAAATAGAAGTATGTCTATAAGCTAGATAATTCTCCATTCTTACCAGCGAAATCTTTGATCATTCTCATACTTATGACAATCAAATATAGTCAGTTTTATCAAATCCATAGTTTATCATAAATGAAACCTTAAAAATTATTCATACACAGCCAACATACATACAAACTGCATACCAGTGGTTAACATTAATTACATGAAACAATGGGATTTCCTGATTTTTTTAAATGACAGGGATGTTTTAATTTGCCATTTCAGAATATAATCCATTCTGGGCAATATTTTCAGAACACCAATATGTTGTGATTGGCAATCGACGTCTTAGACAATGGCAATTTAACCAATTACTTGACTACCAACAATCCTTTAGATCCTGAAAAGGCGAATTGAACAGTTGTTTTACTACAAAGCAGCAAAAACAAAACCAGCTTGAACAAAAATTAAAATATTTTCAATAAGATACGATGTATGGAAGTGAACATCAGGCACTCCATGACAATGAGGATGTATTGCTGCCTTTTATTTATATCTACAAACAGGTGAAACAACATTATACTATGTCATAAGCAGACGACAACAATCACGACCAGGTATATGGTAAAATAATTCTTAGTTTCTCCGACTTGCCAAAACAACTTTCAAATGCTTAGCTTCTTATTATGGATCAAAAAAGAATGGTCTGACCTTTAGAATAAATAATATCCAACATAACAAAGTTATGTTTTGACCTTCATAAAATCATTTAATGTTCCGGAATTTCATAAATGACTTTTGGGAAGTATTTAAAGTCAAAACATTTTTGTTTGAACAAATATAAGAAACAAAGAACTATTCTACACTTACAAAGTACATACTGAATATTTGTACAAAATGAAGGAAAAATATTTTTAAACGTTAGATACAAAACTGTATGGGTACAGAATATAAATACAAAATGCACTGTTACTCATAGTCTGACAAAAAACTGCATTTATTTCTTTGATTTTTTCCCACTCTTTACAAAAGCCTTTCCTTCCTTAGCGGTTTTCTGCATGGTTCCATCACGCTTAATGGCTGGCTTAGGTGTGCCACCACTTGCCTGAGATCTTGTTTTTCTTCCTTCTTCTACATTAATATCAGGTACTGTCCATGCAGCTAAAATAAAATTCAAAATTAAAAAAAAAATAATGACAAAGATTTATTATCATGTTTTTTTCATTTTAGGGGTGGGGTGCAAGAGTTGTGTCACATTGAACAGTATTTCAGTATCAAAAATCATGAAAGCTAAGTTAAGGTAGATGGGTATCTATATTAAAAACAAATTAGAAATTTCTTCATTCTTTACCAAAATGTAGTTTATATATAAAAATAAACTGCTTCGCCTAGCGCAGCTGGATATGACCGCAGAGGTCTAACCCTGAGCAGTTGGGGCAAAAATGGACACAATATTCAAGCTTGATACAGGTCTGAATTGGATTGTAATTAAATATTTGACACATAGGTTTCTGACACAGAACAAATGTAGTCAAAGAACTTGAAATTGGTTATATGATTTGAATTTATATTCAATTGAAGATTTCTTGCTTTTGTGCAATACACCGTGCTGTTGCGCAATACTTAGTAAATCTGTTTTCAGACTATATACAAAGAATTAGCAAAATAAATTGTGACCCCCAATTTTTCTTTGGAAAATTTACAATTTCTTAAATCTTAAGGAAAATAAATTCCCTCCCCCTCCCATGTTCCCAAAAAAAAAATTTGAAGAAATCTTTTTAATTTCTTAAATCTTTAGGGAAAAAAATTGCCCCCCCCACCCCTTCTTCGAATTAAATAACATTTGAAGAAATTTTCTATTTGTAAAATGTGGTACAATTTAAGAAAAATCAATACACTTAAACACAAGTTATTGTCTGAAAACTAGAAAAATGCTTGTTTTAGACCCTTTTTGGCCCCTAATTCCTGAACGGTTTGGGCAATTACCCCCAAAATGAATCCCAACCTTCTAGTTGTGGAATTGAACCTTGTGGTACAATTTCAGAGCAATCAAAATACTTATACACAAGTTATTGTCCTGAAACTAGAAAAATGCTTGTTTTGGCCCCTTTTTGGTCCCTAATTTCTAAATGGTTGGGACCATCACCCCGAAAAACAATATCCCAACCTTCCTTTTGTGGTATAGAACATTTTGGTTAAACTTCATAGAGATCCATACACTTAAACTAAAGTTATTGTCCGGAAACCAAATGTCTTCGGATGACGTGATACCAATATACGACCACAATTTTTGCAATATATAATAAAATGCTTCGCTGGGGCGCAGCTTGATACGACCGCAGAGGTCGAACCCTGAACAGTTGGGGCAAGTATGGACACAAAATTCAAGCTTGATACAGCTATGACTTTGGATTGTCATTAAATATTTGACACAGCATAGGTTTCTGACACAGGATGAATGTGGTGTAAGAACTGGAAAAAATTTAATTTACCTATTATGGTGGAATATCCATAAACTATATTGTTTGTTAATTTCAATATATCAAAGAATATGTAGAATTCAATGTTTGATGTAATGTACTAAAGTTTTTGTTCAATGTGGACCAATTTGGTAACATGTATAAATAATCAAAAATCTAAATACATGGGAGCCCATTTAAATACATCATAAAGGTATTAAAATAGAAAGTGACATCATAGTCATGGCTAAAAATAAACAAAAATCCTTAATCAGCAACATTTAAAGTAATATCTAAAAATAAAATTCCTTTGTAACCATAAAAGCCCATTTAAATACATCATAACAGATATTAAAATAGATAAAATGCTTCGCTGGGGCGCAGCTTGATACGACCGCAGAGGTCGAACCCTGAACAGTTGGGGCAAGTATGGACACAACATTCAAGCTTGATACAGCTCTGAATTTGGATTGTTATTAAATATTTGACACAGCATAGGTTTCTGACACAGAAAGAATGTGGTCTAAGAACTTAAATTTTTTTAATTTACCTATTATGGTCCAATGTCCAAAATCAAAATACATGGTTAGATTCAGCATATCAAAGAACCCCATATATTCAATTTTTGTTAAAATCAAACAAAGTTTAATTTTGGACCCCAACTTGGACTAACTTGAAAACTGGGCCCATAATCAAAAATCTAAACACATGTTTAGATTCAGCATATGAAAGAACCCCAAGAATTCAATTTTTGCTAAAATCAAACTAAGTTTAATTTTGGACCCTTTGGACCCTAATGTAGACCAATTTAAAAAACGGGACTTAAAATTAAAAAACTAAATACACGGTTAGATTTGGCATATCAAAGAACTCCAATAATTCAATTTTTGATGAAATCAAACAAAGTTTAATTTTGGACCCTTTTGACCTCAATATGAACCAATTTGATAGCGGGGCCCACAAATAAAAAATCTAAATTCATGGTTAGATTCAGCATATCAAAGAACCCCATATATTCAATTTTTGTTGAAATCAAAAAAAGTTTAATTTTGGACCCCAACTTGGACCAACTTGAAAACTTGGCCCATAATCAAAAATCTAAACACATGTTTAGATTCAGCATATCAAAGAACCCCAAGAATTCAATTTTTTGTTAAAATCAAACTAAGTTTAATTTTGGACCCTTTGGACCTCAATGAAGACCAATTTAAAAAACAGGACCCAAATTAAAAATCTAAAAACACAGTTAGATTTGGCATATTAAAGAACCCCAATAATTCAATTTTTGATGAAATCAAACAAAGTTTAATTTTGGACCCTTTTGACCTCAATATGAACCAATTTGATAGCAGGGCCTACAAATAAAAAATCTAAATACATGGTTAGATTCAGCATATCAAAGAACCTCATATATTCAATTTTTGTTGAAATCAAACAAAGTTTAATTTTGGACCCCAATTTGGACCAACTTGAAAACTGGGCCCATAATCAAAAATCTAAATACATGTTTAGATTCAGCATATCAAAGAACCCCATATATTCAATTTTTGTTGAAATCAAACAAAGTTTAAATACTGGACCCTATCTTGGACCAACTTGAAAACTGGGCCCATAATCAAAAATCTTAACACATGTTTAGATTCAGCATATCAAAGAACCCCAAGAATTCAATTTTTGCTAAAATCAAAAAAAAATTTGGACCCTTTGGACCTTAATGTAGACCAATTTAAATAAAATGCTTCGCTGGGCGCAGCTTGATACGACCGCAGAGGTCGAACCCTGAACAGTTGGGGCAAGTATGGACACAACATTCAAGCTTGATACAGCTCTGAATTTGGATTGTGATTAAATATTTGACACAGCATAGGTTTCTGACACAGAAAGAATGTGGTCTAAGAACTTCAATTTTTTTAATTTACCTATTATGGTCCAATGTCCAAAATCAAAATACATGGTTAGATTCAGCATATCAAATAACCCCATATATTCAATTTTTGTTGAAATCAAACAAAGTTTAATTTTGGACCCCAACTTGGACAAACTTGAAAACTGGGCCCATAATCAAAAATCTAAACACATGTTTAGATTCAGCATATCAAAGTACCCGAAGAATTCAATTTTTGTTAAAATCAAACTAAGTTTAATTTTGGACCCTTTGGACCTTAATGTAGACAAATTTAAAAAACGGGACCCAAAATTAAAAATCTAAAAACACACGGTTAGATTTGGCATATCAAAGAACCCCAATAATTCAATTTTTGATGAAATCAAACAAAGTTTAATTTTGGACCCTTTTGACCTCAATATGAACCAATTTGATAGCGGGCCCACAAATAAAAAATCTAAATACATGGTAAGATTCAGCATATCAAAGAACCCCATATATTCAATTTTTGTTGAAATCAAACAAAGTTTAATTTTGGCCCCCAACTTGGACCAACTTGAAAACTGGTCCCATAATCAAAAATCTAAACACATGTTTAGATTCAGCATATCAAAGAACCCCAAAAATTCAATTTTTGTTAAAATCAAACTAAGTTTAATTTTGGACCCTTTGGACCTTAATGTAGACCAATTTAAAAAATGGGACCCAAAATTAAAAATCTAAAAACAAAGTTAGATTCAGCATATCAAAGAACCCCATATATTCAATTTTTGTTGAAATCAAACAAAGTTTAATTTTGGACCCCAATTTGGACCAACTTGAAAACTGGGCCAAAAATCTAAAATCTAAATACATGTTTAGATTCAGCATATCAAAGAACCCCATATATTCAATTTTTGTTGAAATCAAACAAAGTTAAATTTTGGACCCCAACTTGGACAAACTTGAAAACTGGTCCCATAATCAAAAATCTAAACACATGTTTAGATTCAGCATATCAAAGAACCCCAAGAATTCAATTTTTGTTAAAATCAAACTAAGTTTAATTTTGGACCCTTTGGACCTTAATGTAGACCAATTTAAAAAACGGGACCCAAAATTAAAAATCTAAATACACGGTTAGATTTGGCATATCAAAGAACCCCAATAATTAGATTTGTGATGAAATCAAACAAAGTTTAATTTTGGACCCTTTTGACCTCAATATGAACCAATTTGATAGCGGGCCCACAAATAAAAAATCTAAATACATGGTAAGATTCAGCATATCAAAGAACCCCATATATTCAATTTTTGTTGAAATCAAACAAAGTTTAATTTTGGACCCCAATTTGGACCAACTTGAAAACTGGGCCAAAAATCTAAAATCTAAATACATGTTTAGATTCAGCATATCAAAGAACCCCATATATTCAATTTTTGTTGAAATCAAACAAAGTTTAGTTTTGGACCCCAACTTGGACCAACTTGAAAACTGGGCCCATAATCAAAAATCTAAACACATGTTTAGATTCCGCATATCAAAGAACCCCAAGAATTCAATTTTTGTTAAAATCAAACTAAGTTTAATTTTGGACCCTTTGGACCTGAATGTAGACCAATTTAAAAACGGGACCCAAAATTAAAAATCTAAATACACGGTTAGATTTGGCATATCAAAGAACTCCAATAATTCAATTTTTGATGAAATCAAACAAAGTTTAATTTTGGACCCTTTTGACCTCAATATGAACCAATTTGATAGCAGGTCCACAAATAAAAAATCTAAATACATGGTTAGATTCAGCATATCAAAGAACCCCAAGAATTCAATTTTTGATGAAATCAAACAAAGTTTAATTTTGGACCCTTTTGACCTCAATGTGGACAAAGTTGATAACGGGGCCCAAAAATCAAAAATCTAAATACATGGTTAGATTCAGCATATCAAAGAACCCCATATATTCAATTTTTGTTGAAATCAAACAAAGTTTAATTTTGGACCCCGATTTGGACCAACTTGAAAACTGGGCCCATAATCAAAAATCTAAATACATGTTTAGATTCAGCATATCAAAGAACCCTAAAAATTCAATTTTTGTTAAAATCAAACTAAGTTTAATTTTGGACCCTTTTGACCTTAATGTAGACCAATTTGAAAACGGAACCAAAAATTAAGAATCTAAATACACGGTTAGATTCGGCATATCAAAGAACCCCAATAATTCAATTTTTGATGAAATCAAACAAAGTTAAATTTTGGACCCTTTGGACCTCAATGTGGACCAATTTAAAAACGGGGCCCATAATCCAAAAACTTAATACACGGTTAGATTCAGCATATTAAAGAACCCCAAGAATTCAAGAATAAAACCCCATTGAAATTGATCAAGAAATAAGAAATTTATACGAAGTATCTTCTTTTGCACAATACTGTGCAATTGAATATTTCTTGCTATTGTGCAATACTGTACAATTGACAATTTCTTGCTATTGCGCAATATTGTGCTATTGGATATTTCTTGCTATTGCGCAATACTGTGCAATTGAAGATTTCTTGCTATTGCGCAATACTGTGCAATTGAAGATTTCTTGCAATTGTGCAATACTGTGCAATTGAAAATTTCTTGCTATTGCACAATACTTATTATATAATAATTTACACATCCTGTTTGGTGTGTATCTCCTACCATATCATTATTATTTGCTTTTAAATATTAATCAGAAATAACCAACTTAAAATGGAAAATTTTAAAAGAAAAAAAAAAGGAAAAAAAGAAAAAAAAAGAAAAAAAAAAAATCCCCCCCCAAATTTTTTGAACCCCCTTATGATTCATCACCCCCAAACTCAATCCCAGCCTTCCCTTTGTGGTATGGTACCTTGCAGTACAATTTCAGAGAGATCCATACACCTGAACACAAGTTATTGTCTGGAAACTAGAAAAATGCTTATTTTTGGCCCCTTTTTGGCCCCCAATTCCTAAACGTTTCGGGCAATTACCCACAAACTCAATTCCAGCTTTCCCTTTGTGATATGGAACCTTGTAGTACAATTTCAGAAATATCCAAACACTTACACACAAGTTATTGTCATGAAACTAGAAAAATGCTTGTTTTTTGCCCCTTTTTTGGCCCCTAATTCCTAAAATTTTGAGGCAATTACCCCCAAAATCAATTACAGCCTTCCCTTTGTGATATGGAACCTTGAGGTACAATGTCAGAGAGATCCATACACTTACACACAAGTTATTGTCTGGAAGTTACAAAAATGCTTATTTTTGGCCCCTTTTTGGCCCCTAATTCCTTAACTGTTGGTACCATAACCCCCAAAATCAATCCCAACCTTCCTTTCGTGGTATTGAACCTTATGGTAAAATTTCATGGAGATCCATTCACTTAAACTAAAGTTAGAGTGCGAAAACATATGTGTCTTCGGACGACGACGACGACGACGACAACGACGACGACGACGACGACGCCAACGTCATACCAATATACGACCAAAAAATTTTCAATTTTTGCGGTCGTATAAAAACAACTGGGTAACTTCCATCAGGACATCATTACAAGCTGCATATTGTATAAAAACATCATAACAAACGAACCGCACGCCGCGACAAAGTTACTGAGAATTGTCGAAAATCACACGCTTAAAACAGCGCTATCAAAAAATCCTGGGGAGAACACTGCCCTCATGGGTAGTCAAGGTCGTTGGAACACCCTCGTAGGAATTATCAATTTGTTTTTGTAAATTATTAAACACAAGATGAAAATTTAGACATTAAGTTATAAGCATTTGTATTAAGTTTTTATATTCATTTATTTAAGAAGGCATATTTTCCATTTATCTGAATACAGGAATTAGCGAAAAATAAACCAATCGAAAATGAATTTATACATATGTATATTGTTTTGCATACCTTCAGCTATTGTTTTTTCCATAGTGCTTGTTTTTTTCATTGCTGGTTTGGCTGCAGGGGCCTTCCTCTTTGTTTCTTGTCTTGTATCTCCTAGTTTCTCTTTCCCTAATAAATCCTTTCCTTCCTGCAAGTATTTACACATGAATGAAGAAACTAAATATGTCAAACATTTTCCTGTCTGTTGTTTTTCTTTTTTATTCATCATATTGTGGATTCATTTATTTTCGTGGGTACCAATTTTCGTGGATTAAGGAAAACTTGCATGTTCGTGGCTTTTTAATTTCATGGTTTTTGACAATGTCTGCATACAAGCCTATAGTAAATTTGCCATTCGTTGTACATTTAGATTCGTGGTTAACCTATAAGCACGAAATCCACGAAAATTGGTATCCAAAAAATAATAATGAATCCACAGTATATGATATATAATAATTGTTTTAAGATTATGGAATACTTGTAACTTATGTCAAATAGTTGTCTCTAATAGTCTTTTAATAACCATCTATTATCTTTTTGATATTATAAATTATTGGATTTTTTTCCATATTATAATTTTTTTTTATTGTACATTTTTTGTTTGTATTGATGTTTTAAGGGCATACGATACAGTTTTGATCCCACAGTGATTTTTTTTACCAAAATTTGCATACAAGCTATTTTTCACCTCATTAATTCAAATATGTAATAAAAAATATACCTTCATGTGTTACTTTTAAGAGATAAATGAGGTCGAAATTTTAGACATTTACCTAAAATTTCGTTTTTTTTTTACATTTCTATCCTTTGGATAGACATACCTTACTTTTTTGTTTCAAAAGATAAACAAAAACGGACTTTTGTAAAGACATTAGGAAAATCTTGTTTACATAAGTATGCTCTAAATTTGTAAAACAATTCTTTGGAAATAATTGATTTTTATCAAAGTTTCATGATTTTAAAAATGATATTTTTTGCTGTATATTTATCTAATTTAAAAAAATTTCATCTGTGACTTTTTCATAAAAATTGATACAAATAATCTTCATACGTAATCAAACCTAATGTCATTTTAAAAAAGAGGGGTCCATGAACTTGTTTTCAAGTTAAATCAGTCTGAATGATAAAAATCAGTCGAAAACTACATCTTTTCCCCATATGTCACAGTTTGACGTCGCGAAAATAACATTTTACATTAGCAACATCATTACCTCCCCTGTAACTGTATCGTATGCCCTTAAATGGATCAATGATTTGATAAAGTATTTGTTTTCCTATGTGTTGTGACAATGATATTTTTGATGCACAATCATGCAACATTTTTTGTTGGCTGGATTGACCAATCTTTCTTGTTCATACCTCTTATATTTAAATCATCGATGTTGAGGGAGGGGGGATGTTATTTCTACATAATGTCCTTTCATTTCAGATTTTTTATCTTCTTTTTTTCATTACCTCAACAATGCATTCAATGGGAACTGTTACTTCCTTGACTAAAGCATGTAAAGCTCAATGTTAGTTTTGTAGTGTGTTTTTTATGATAGTGCTATTCTTTCTTTTCATCAAAATGGAATTGTGACAAGGGATATCTTAACCTGTTTAATAAAATTAAGAATGAAAACGGGGAATGTGTCAAAGAGACAACCAGTGATTTTGCTAGCGCTCTTCATTTTCATCATTTACGAAACTGTTTTCAAAATGATGAAAGTATTCCAAATCAATTTCGTCACTTAAATTTGGGAAGAGTTAAAATATTTTCGCATGAAAATACTATAATTCTACCTGTCTTATTGTTTCTGACAAGTTTCTGACCCTCAGCTAATTAACATTTACAACAGGTGTTATAAGTTGGGATTACAGATAATCTGCTTATCGCCATCAGATGGGTCACTAATCCGTTAATTATTTATCAACCTCATAATTGATCATCACAATTATTTTCCCCAGTAAAATCAGTCAGTCGGCATTTCAATTTCAATATTTATCAAACGAGCACAATTTGCAGTTCGTTTGTCATAGTTTCGTCATTTTAGTTTTCCCTCGGAGAGTTCGCATTTTAATTTCAATATTTCTCAATCGATCACAATTTGCAGTTCGCTTGTCGTAGTTTCGTCAAATGAACTCATTTTCTTCATATTTGACATAACTTTTAATCAAAAACTTTCGACAATTTCGATTAAAATGATAGAATTTTATTCATAACATTCAGATTCAAACAGGTGCTTCCTTTACGATGAACTGCGCATGCGTGAAAGTATTCTTATGAATTTAAAGACACTAAAACATAAAATACGAAATAATTAAGTATCAAACTAAACGAGAGAGACAAGTATAGTTCTTATTTAGCAAATTTAATTTAAAAAATGATAATTTCCTGCCTTTTTTAAACACGAACCAATCTGTAGATGAATCCGGATTCATTCTGAATTTATTATCTACATGTCACTTCCCGTTTTCATTTCATTTGGAAATCGAATGTAAACATTATCTATTCATGATAAATTTACAATTTAAAGTCATTAGAATTGTTCCAATAAGGATTTGCACAAATCCTTGGTCCTAACTTTATAGAATTGATTCTAAATATCGCTTTAAAACGTTTTTAAGGATAACGAGTATGAATAATGCAGAGAAATAGTCCTTACAAGTTCATTTATGCTGTGATTTCTGGTTTAAAAAAAAATGGATCCCAACTTTTGCTGATTTGGAATGTACCCTGAAACTAACTGAAGTGAAATTGTGAACTAGATTTCTAGATCTTATATCCTAATCTTTGTATTAAAGTGCCACATCAGTCAAATCATGCAGTAACTGCCTAGTATGCCTTAGTCCTTCAAAGTCTGACAAAGATGTATAGATAGTAATATACATCCTAGGTCCCTTGCTGCTACCCAAAATAAGGTTGATTTTCATCCCGCGCAAAAGTGACTAAAGCCCTCAAAATCCTTGCTATAACCCTGGACAACAACCCAACCAAAGAGCAGAAAACAGCTAAAGGCCACCAATGGGTCTTCAAAACAGCGAGAAAATCCCTCTCTAAGGAGGGCTTCAGCTGATCCATAAACAATAATGTATACTTGTTGAGCGAAAACACAATCTTTTTTTATTACCTTTGCAGTGGCGGCCATTGTGCTTTCCTTGGCCAGTTTAGCTTTCTTTGGGGTGGATGGGGGCTCTTTACTGATGGCATCAATCTGTTTTTGTTGACCTCTTGTCATTGCATCTACATCTGGTCGATTATCACCTAGTAATCTATCAGCTTCCTGTAAATGAATAAAATATATTTCTTAATGCTGTGCTTTGATAAAGCTATGAAACAACCTTGATTTCAGAGTTCTCGAAATCTGTTTTCCCCTGGTGGCCTTTGAAGAAAATCTGCTGGTCCTCAATGTTTTTTCTATTCACTTTTCGAGAACTGATTTGACTTAATGGCCTATTTGTATGCCCTTACATGTATTTCAGGAAAGCTTCTGAACATTTTAATATAATCTATAAAGGATCCCCTTCCAATGTAATTACTGTTCATGACATTAAAACTACAGTACACAGAAGGTGATTTAGATAATAGTCACTCTAATAAGGTGGTGAATTTTCACAGTAAATGCTAGTAATATAGAGATTCTACCACAGCTTCAATTGTGATACCTTAATACCCGTAGTTCTCTCGTACCACTAAAACATATTTTACCTCACCTCAATCTTTAAATGCCTGTCCAAAGTAAGGATACTGTATTTGTGAATTTTTCAGCGGTTGTATTATATGCAATCTGCCATTTTTGATTCTATTTATTGTTGTTAGCATATATTAGGCTGTTGGATATCCGTGAAACTGTTTTATTTTGTCACGCTTTGGCAATTTATAGCTTACTATATGGTATGATTTTTGATCTTGTAAAAGGTCATGCTAACATCCTTGTCCTTCTGGTACTAGTAGATAGTTGTCCCATTGGCAATCATACGACATCACTTATATTTTTATAAAAATAGGTTTACAAACCTAACCTACATCTTAAAGACATACATGTACTCTGATCTTCTGTGAATAAGGTTAACATCCCTCAGGCAAAGTTTACCGTGATGAATTTGGCTATTTTTTTTAGGGTCCCTTTTGGTCATATAGCTCTTCATGTGTTCTGATCCACGAAAATAATAAATTTTATTTTCATTTATCAATCACTTACCTTTGCTGTTCCAACCATAGTTGTTCCTTTAGCCAATTTTGATTTCTTTGCTGGTGGTTCAGGCTCTGGGTCTTTCAAACCAGACATTACTAATAAAGTCTCCTTCCCAGAGGATTCTAAATAGTTTATTCCTTCCTGAAAAAAAAAAATGCTATGTGTATAAGGACACGTACTACCATGCAAGGTTATTGTCCAATGATCACCAGAGAATTGACTTTGGAAGTATGGCCTAAACCTTTACAGACATAATAAAGTAACATAGTTAAATGGTTATGTGCACAAATTTTCAATTTCAAAAGAGAGACGAAAGATACCAAAGGGAATTTTTTTAAGGGATATTATTGAAAACAAACTGACAATGCAATGGCAAAAAACGTAAAACGACAAAAGTACAAACAGCAGTACATAAAAAACAACATACATGTAGAAAGCATGTAAAGATTTGTTTTTTTAATTTTTAGAATTCAATTATCTTTTGTTTTCTATAACTATTAGCATTTACTTTCTCTAAGTGCTGGTTCCGAATGCACGATTAGAGTGATACATTTTTTCTCATTGGTTCAGTGAATTTACATTTTACCTGGCTGGTCCATTTCAATTGGTCCTACTTGTAATTTGTACTCAGTAAAGTTTTCCTTGCAAATCACTATATTCGTATGGTCATTCTTCTAATCAGTTTTCTCAGAACAGGTCATAATTTTATATAAAGTTGACGCGTCGATCGACTTAAATTTATAATTCTTGAAATACCAGCCCACCCAGCCCTATTTTTTAAAAATTATATTTTTATTCATAATTTTTTCTCCTGTGTGTATAGTGGTTTTTTTGAAAGATAGGTTTTTGTACCTTCTGTTTGAGTAAGTTACATGTACTTGTATTGTGACTCAATTTTTTTTTTGTGTTGTGTGTATAGTTCATGTTGTGTAGACCTTTAAGTTTTATGAGATGCTGATCTAAGCCTTATAAATGTTTTTACATACTTTTCTTTTGTTTGAAATTTGCCAGAGATTTAAAAGATTGAAGAGTAATTTAGAAAACATGTCAAGACTGAGCAACACAAACCCACTATAAACCAGGTGTGATCTCGGGTGCTCCAGAAGGGTAAGCACATACCTGCCAACCCACCTGTTTTGAGCGGGAAATTCTAGCACAAAGGACGAAATTCCGGAAATCTCACACTTTCTGGTCGGCTCCCGCGCAGAAGTATAGAATCTTCCGCATTCAGATATTTTTAACCTGGAATGACCCACATTTGTATTTCTCAGGATTTTACAATACTGTCAATCTGTCGTCATCTGTGAAACAGATATTCCATAATAATCAACCAACTTGTGATAGCTTCCATAAAATTTTGGAAGGGATCAACATGAGTAAAGGGGCATTATTCAATCACATCAAAAATAGGGTAAGAGTTCCATATGGCACCCCCACCATACTAAAAGAACAAAATAATGTATTACCGTTTATTCCGTGGGGGTGCCATATAGAACTCTTTCCAAAAGTACAACTGTATTGCTAATTTATATTCAGCAATAACTTCTTAATTCTGCTAATTTTGCGAATGCTTTTCCAAATAATATGTGAGAAAGTATTTTTCATTTAAAAAGTGCAAAGGGAGATAATTTGTATAACTAGCCAGATGTAGCTATATGACCTATATATTAGCCCAAACTGCAGATATACAAAACCTGCATAATTTAGTGGTATGTGAAATATGCAAATGTTGACATCAATTTAGGGAAGCTGACAAAAAAAAATATCTGCATTGCAATAAAATGGGATTTTGTGATTACTTGTGTCCTGTTTTCACGTTTTTAGGCACACTATGGTAGTATGGTAGTTACAGAACTGGATTGAGCTTGTTTGAACATGTTGATAAGTCAAAAGAAGAATGTATCACATGTATTTAAAAAAAATTACATAAATTAAGTTTTCAACGATGCATTCTGTAACACATCTTTGCATGACATGACATACTTTCTTCAAAATAATTATAGTGCATTTTAGGAGAGTCGAAACATGGGAAATCCAAACCACCCCCTCCCCTTTTTGACCAAATAATGAAATATCGGACAAAGATACAATATATCGACGAATTCAAACAAGAGATAGACTTAAAAATTAATTTGCCAAGATGCCTTTAACATGAAATTTATTGACAAGTAAATTTTCTCAAGTTTGCATTGATTTTGTTGACAAAAACAAAAATGCCGGTGACCGACATTTTTTGTGTATTTTCCCTTCGGTTTGAACAAGGATATATTTGTTCATCAACTGTGAATTTTAACCAACCTTTGCAGTCACTTGCATTGTTCCATCTCTGGCAAGTTTAGTCTTTTCTTCAGCCATATTTTGATTTACTCTCTGTAAAATCAGTAACTAAGAAAGGCTTATAATTTGCCGAATCAGCACGAGGTTAACCCAATGTATTTTAGGAAGGCGTTATCACATGACAAAAACAAAGCAATTGATTGGATCGTTGAACGGAGGCTCGCCCGGTAGCGAGATAATCAAAACAGACGCACGTGTAAATACGGACCATGATGACACAGACAGTTGTGTCTGAAAAAAAAAACAATATACTTTACTATGTTAATGAGTCTAATCATAAGAGAACAAAACTAATAAATGAGCAGTCAATGTTAAATTTTATCAGAGGGCAGAGCATTTAGTGGTAGCAGAGACATATATATACACATTCAGTGTTTCACGATAGGGGGTTATGCAGAATTTTTCACAAAGGGCACCAATATCAAAACAGCAAAAATACTGAATAAAAGAGACATTCTATATGGGGAAACCGTCCTTCAGTTTTGTATTCTTTAAAAAAAAATGTCATTTTTCTCTATTCTTTATATTTTAGCACCCATTATTCGCTAGTCTTTACATTTTTGGCCCATTTTTCTCTATTCTTTTTATATTTCAACCCTTTATTCAGGCTGTACTTTCTAGCTTCTAACTTATAATCTCTATTCTGTAAACCCCATCGTCCAGATCATCAAAGAAGGAGCCCATATGTGTACTTGTTTTAACTGACTACTGACTTATATATCTTTATCTAGAAACTTATTTTAGGGAAACCATTGCTAGCACTGCATGCATTACTCCTCTATCTATTAAATACAAAATTGTCAAATTTAAGAGTACAAGGGAAAAGACTGAGGATGATTTTCCATAAAATTTCCATATGTTTAGCATTGAAACAACAAAAGGATACTCCTAATAAGAATATTTAATTGTGAAAAGGGAAGGGTGTACACATAATAAAAATAAAAAAAGTGTACTTAAAAAAAAAAAATTGATGTTCTGACCCCCAAAAAAAAAAGTTTTGAAATAGCATAAAGTGTTTAAGGTGGATCATTGGTATATAATTCCTCAGATAGAATTTCAAGTCTTATACTTTGCCAGAATGTAGATTTTTCCATGCTTTTTTCAAAAATATAATAAAAAGTATGGGTCATCATGCTTTTTTTCATGCAACAAGTCGTGCAATATTGCCCAAATTTGCATAGATTGTTCATGAAAAAAAAAACCCACTTTTTTGTGAATAAAAAGAAATCTATGAGAAAGAATTATGAAATAAAAAATGACAAGATAGGTTTAAAAATATGCTTTAAGAAAATAAAAAGAAAAAATGTTGTCACCAACCTTGTTTTCTTGCTAAAAGTAAAATTTGATTTAGAGAAAAATTCGTCTATTATTCCTTTTAAAAAAAAATTACTATCTGCCCTTAGATGGCTTAGTTGACAATTTGATTCGAACAAACACAAATATTTGGTATTTGATAATTAAATATATACTTTTTTTCCTTTATTCCATTAAACAGTCTAACCCATTAATTACCAATATGTCTCAAAGTTTGCAGGATTAAGCAAAGAACTATACCTATTGTGAGCTGTTATTTTCAAATCCAAGATGGCGTTATACATTTAATCTACCTTAACAAAAACTGAGTTGTCATCTGACAGTGAAGAGAGACGGCAACAGAGACATATGCCCTAGGATTTATATGTGTCTGTGACCGCACTGATCTGACAAGATTATATGTACAGCATGAAAGATACCATTTGATAGATGTATATTTTGACGATTTGTTTTGGCTTTATATATATGATATTTTCGCATATTATCGTCGAAAATAATTCAATATATCGTTACCATTAAGACACTTACTGATTAAGCCCCACACCATTCCTCGAAGGAGATTCACTTGTTGTCCAGTATCGAGTTGCAAGTTACAAAAGTCGAGTTGCTAGTTACGAAAGTCGAGTTGCGAGTTACAAATGTCGAGTTGCGAATTAGGAATGTCGAGTTGCGAGTTACGGAAGTCGAGTTGCGAATTACAAAAGTCGAGTTACGAGTTACGAAAGTCGAGTTGCGAGTTACAAAATTAGATTTGCGTGAAAATGGGGAAAACTATTTTAATTTTTTGGTGTACTTCTTTAACAATTTTGAATGATGATTGCTTATAGAATTGTGTACAGTATTGTTGATTCTTTTTGTTGTTTGGACTTCATCTGAGTCTCGTGTAAAAAAAATGATTGGATTGCTTACATAATCATTACGCAAAGTATGGTTATTTTCTGAAGAAACAGATAGCCTTTTGAAACATAGCGGATGGCTTGTATTCTAATTATTATTAAATTTCATAGCTAGCACCGTCATATTAAACGTAAAGGGAGATAGCAACTAAACTATAGTACATATATGTAAAAGACCCCTTCTGCAGATTTCGTTAAGAGTGGACTCTTTGTGGCAGCTGCAGAGGCAATATTTGTTAGGCGCCCCAAAATTTATTCTTTGGCAGTGACACTTACAATTGTGGACGTTTAAGTTATATATATGTCTACATTGGCTAGAGGTGAAGGGGGAAGGTTGAGCGCTCATAATACCTGTTTAACCCCGCCGCATTTTTGCGTCTGTCCTAAGTCAGGAACCTCTAGCCTTCGTTGGTCATGTATATGTTTTAATTTTGGTTCATCTACATGTTTTGTAGCATAGAATGGCGTCCATATTCTTGATATAGTGTACATTGTGTTTCGGGGCCTACTCGGGGCTGCCTCTGGGTGTGAGATTTCTCGCTGTGTTGAAGACCCATTGGTGGCCTTGATATGACTTATATATTTTGGTTGGGTTGTTGTCTCTTTGACACATTCCCCGTTTCCATTCTTTATTCTATACATATAGCTGTCAAAGATACTTTTGTAAAAGAGACAAAAGAAGCAGTATTGGAATTTGTAAGTTCTTTCTAAAAACGGGTTAATCATAACCAATATAAAAAAGAAGATGTGGTATGATTGCCAATGAGACAACTCTCCACAAGAGAACAAATGACACAGAAATTAACAACTATAGGTCACCGTACGGTCTTCAACAATGAGCAAAGCCCATACCACACAGTCACCTATAAAAGGCCCCGAAATGACAAAGTAAAACAATTCAAACGAGAAAACTAACGGCCTTATTTATGTACAAAAAATGAACGAAAAACAAATATGTAACACATAAACAAACGACAACCACTGAATTACAGGCTCCTGACTTGGGACAGGCACATACATACAGAATGTGGCGGGGTTAAACATGTTAGCGGTATCCCAACCCTCCCCATAACCTGGGACAGTGGTGTAACAGTACAACATAAGAACGAACTATAAAAATCAGTTGAAAGAGGCTTAACTCATCAGATGGATAAAAATACAAATACTACAAATACAAGTGGACGTGGCCGGGTACTTGTACATCCAAACAACAGAAAGACACTAAGTACAAATCTGAGAGTACTCGCCGTTACTGACAGCTAGTTCAAAGCCACTAACAACTAATAAAAAAAATCATAACCAAATCAATGAAGTTAATTTAGGAATAACATGCTGACAAATATAACTCTTTTGACTTTTTTAAAACGTTTTTTTATATGATGCACAATGGCTATTTAATTCATTTTTTTGGGGTGCATGCATCCTTTAAGGATACATTTTTTTTCAAATATTTCCAGAAATAAAACACCAAATGTGTTTTGTTTTCATTAAAATCCGAACAATTTATTAGAAACTTAATGTCAATATATATATTTTCTCCTAATTTTCAGTAGAAATAATCTTCAAATTTATTCACTTCCATTTTAGACAATTTTTTTCTCAAGGAATTCAGAATCAAACAATTCTTTAAAAAAAAACCTACGCCTTTCCAAAACATGGATGGCAGATGCCTGAAAGTACAACTTGATGCCATACTTACCTGTGTAAAACTTTTTTCAGGTGCTCTCGTGACAGGCTATACCACTGTATCTAAACTACCCCGGCGAAAAATGTTTGGACTCAATAGTATCTAATGTCCGGTACGGTGACGGACAATCAACAGACAGAGAAATGTAGAAATTCTGTTTATTTATATGTTGTTTTAATGATATTGAAGAATATACATACACATATAACTATTTTTGATAGTGTGATGTAATATTTTCTACCACCGTTCTAGATTTATGGAGAAATAAGTAAAAATGCACATGAAAATGGTGAATTGAGTGAACCCTGCCTCGAATTTGTTTAATTTCTCTTTAAATTGAGCACATTGTACGGAAAGAATGTACGGAAAGAAAGATATTAACACGGAAATTTCAAGACTTTTCACTATGATCGCCTCAATATTTGCATGTCTGTGCATGGAATGAAAGAAGTGGGTCATGTCAAAATTGAAGCACCCGGTTTTGTCAATGTGTACAACCCGGTTTTGTCTTAAATTTCACAAAACATACCCGGTTTTGTCATAGAAAATAATGCATAATCGCATGACGAAAATTAAAATATGGCGTTCAACAGCAGTTTGAGGGATCGTTGAAAAACATTTTCTTTCAGAGGATAACTTATAACCTTTTTGAATCCGTAAACACTTGAATTCCTGCTATATTAGAACAAAGCAAATTTCAATTTTGTTTTGTATAAAATAAAAAGGAAAATTAAAAAGAAATGAAGGTTTTGAAACGGAATTAGATTTTTTTATATCATCTATGTAAATTTAAGTGTTCAAACTTAATTAGTGTACGGCCTTGAAAGTTTAAGGACGCACATTTGATATGTGATTTTCTGGGACAACAAGATGGTTATCTTAGTGTTCCGTTCTACTTAAAGGGAAGACAGTATAATCGTTTGAAAATAAATATTCTGAAACTAAACGTTCATTATAAAGCAAGAGACGAAGACAAATGTATGTGCATGCAGAATCGAATAAGAAAAGGAATTTCCATGCGGCGCAAAGGATCACAATAATAGTGCGTTAAAAATCTGTTTACCCCTCCTTGTTACAAAAACTAAGTATAAATTAGTATAAAAGTCTTAGGCCATCCGGAAATTGCAATAATGATTATTTGATTAGTAATTTTTATAAATAAACGATGTTTTATCTCTCTTTTTTTTTCTTTTTTTTTTAACATTAACAAATTGT